TCCTGATTACCTTGAATATGGAGAAGGCTGAGGTACTGAATTTTTCCCTCAGTCTTCACTGAGAAGTGTTCCAGTGAAGTGCTCCACTGCCCAGGCTGCCACAGGCAAAGGCAGGAACTGGGAGATTGAGAAAGCGCCCACTGTAGCAGATCAGGTTTGAGACCATCTAAGGAACAGGGAGGTGAACAAGTCCATGGGTTCTGACGAGATGCATCTGCCACTCCTGAAGAAACTAGTAGATGAAGTGGTTAAGCCACTACCAATCATATTTGTGAAGTTGTGGCAGTCTGGTGAGGTTCCCACTACCTGGAAAAGTGGAAACATAGCCCTCATTTTTAAAAAGAGAAAAAGGAGATATTTTGTGAACTACAGGCCTGTCAGTCTGACCTTTGTGCCCAGCAAGATCATAGATCAGATCATCCTGAAAACTGTGCTAAGGAAACTGGAAAATAATGAGGTAATTTGTGACAGCTGACAGGGCTTCACTAAAGGCAAATAATGCATGACTAATTTAGTTGCCTTCTACAGTGAGATTACAGCATAAAGGAAGAGTGACATCAGCTACCTGGACTTGTGCAAGGAACTTGACACTGTCCCATTTAATGGCATTCTTGCCTCTAAACTGGAGAGATGTGGATTTGATCAGCAGACCCCAAGTGCAGACTGGGTGGAGAATCTATTGAGAGCAACCCTGAGGAGCAGATCCTGGGAGGTGTTGGTGGATGAAAGCTCAGCATGAGCAGCTTGTAGCCTGGGAAGTCAGATGCATCCTGGGCTGCCTCAAAAGCAGCATGGCCAGCAGGTTTAGGGAGGTAATTCTGTCCCTTTACTCCACTGTGGTGTTATATCACATGGAGTGTTCCATCTTGGTCTGGGCTCCTGACATATGAAGGACATGGACCTGCTGGAGTGAGTCCAGAGAAGGCTATGAAGATGGTCAGAGGATGGAAGCATGTCTCTTGTTAAGACAGGCTGAGAGAGTTGGGGCTGTTCATCCTGAAGGAGGCTCTGGAGAGACTTTCTAGTAGCTCTTTGCTACCTAAAGGAGGTTTACAAAAAACCTGCAGAAGGACTTTTTACAAGTGATTGTAGTGATGGGCCACAGGAGAATGGCTTCAAACTGAAAAAGAGTATATTTAGATAAGATCTTGACTGTGAATGTGGTGAGGTGCTGGAACAGGTTGCCCAGGGAGGTTGTGGATACCCCATCCCTAGCAGTATTCAATGCCAGGCTGAATGGAGCTAGGAGAAACCTGGTCTAGTGGAGGATGTGTGAGGATGTGGTTGAAACAATCTTTAAGGACTTTTCCAATCCAAGCCATTCTGTGATTCTGTGGGTTAATTAGAGAGATGTAGTATTTAGTTTGCAGAGGAATTTTAGATGTAGCCTCTGAAAAATATTTGTCTAAGTTTCTTAGTTGTCTGTTTGAACTGCTCTATAAATTAGCAGGTATGTGCTGCTAATGGTCAATTAAGTGCCTAACATGGGCTGACTGACACTTATCATTAGATTCTGCTTCTTAAGTAACTCCTGCAAATGCAGCGCATATGGATTTGAGCAAATTGCTGAAGCACATTCTTTGCTGAATATCAGTAGTCTCTGAATGCAGTCTGGATAGATTTGGGAAGACATCCTGGGGTAATTTATCCCCAGTATTCAAGACTCTTTGGAAATCAGCATGACTGTTCATACACAATAACACTCTCTCATATTTTGTCCTTGTTTTGGTTTTGTGAGAGGGACAAGGCTGTTTTTTCCAGAACTTCTCAGCTTTTCAGGATCTTTCTTGAAATCACAGTACCCCACCATTAGCTTTTGCTATGGATAATGCTGCTGAAGACAAAGCATTTTTGAGAAAAAAGATTTTTGGTGGTATGAGTTAGCTTTCCCTTTATTTTGAAAGCACATACCATAGTTCAGATATAAAAAAAAAAAAATAATTTATTGAGAGTTTTACTCCCCATCTTGAATTTTGATGGAAGGCTGCAAAAGATTTATGGAAAAAGCTCAACACATTTGTGTCTTAAGTAAGTTATTATTGTATCTGTGTGCATCCAAAAGTAAATAATTGAGCAGCAACATGTTAGTAGAAAACATTTCCCTGCTGTTAGGATATGACTTTTGAATTATTCCCTTAGGAAATAAGGTTTTACAAATATATACTTTGTTTTACTTGGTTGGTCTTAATGAAATCATACATTAAAACTGCAAATGTGTTTTTAATAATATGTTTTAGAAATACATCAGTAATGTACAAAAAATAATGATACAGTATATGTGTATTTTCATGGGCGCTTATTATTTTTGAAGTTCATGTTTTTAAAGAATAGTTTAGAAAGTAATTAAAAGCAATTTAAACCCATGAAGCTATTATTTGCTCCTTACAAAAGTAGTTTTTTCCTCTCTATAATGTCTTAATTTTTCTTATTTTACTAGTTAGTTTTAATGACTTTTACCAATGGAAAGTGTTCTCTGTGTTTAGGGATTTTTGTTTTAAATTTTGGTGGTTGTCTTTTGGAGAAAACCTGAAATTTTGAAGCTATGCTCTTACTAAGTTTGTTGCATGTTATCTACCTATTCCTGGATCTCTATAATGCTGCTGCAGTGGAGTTATTTTGTGCAATTATACAAAGAGTGAATTCTAGAGTATAGCAGTGCAAGATTGGCATAAATAAGCATTAGGCAAAGAAGCAGCAATGGCATGGGATGACCAGGGAGAAATTATTTTCAAATATATAGCAGAGTACTGAACTGCAGATGTCTCTAGGATCAGTGTTGCTGGCATAAAATTTTTTTATGCCCATTTGGGGAGTTTTTTTATTTGTGTCTTAACTTTTATGTTCTATTTGATGAGCGTTTATGAATAGATTAACTGCCATTTTACACTGTATAATCTTTTTTATAGTTGTAAATTGCCCCAGACTTTTGTGTGCCAGTGATCTGTATCATCCTGAATTTTAATGAATGTGTACTTTTCTCTCCCCAGTTCATATATTTTTGCAGCTTATAAAGTATTCACCAAATGGTAGACTTACCACTTGCAGTGATTTTCAGTCAAGATGTTTGATTTAATAGCTACTTTTATATCTTCTGAGCATATCATTCCTGTTCCAGCTCAGTAGAGCTGCATTTGCAGTGCAGTTCCTGCTCTCAGCTTTTGAGAGCAGAAGGTGAGGGAATTGGCGTTGTGGATGTAGCTGATGGCTTGGAATTTAGCAAAGCATGGGACAGACAGAAGTGGGGAAAGGGACAGACACCTAAAGGTTTAGATGTGGGAAGGAGGGTGCAGGAATGTAGCTTACCATCAAAGGATTTGAGGTTAAAGAGGGATTAAAATACAGAACCTTAAGAAAGGACACCAAACACAGAAACAGACAGATGACAGAAAAAATTGGGCAGGGAAGAAAAGGCAGCAAAGGGTAGGTAGGTGGTAAGAATAGAAAAAATTGGCAGGTTAGACAAGACAGAAGATGTATGAGAGGATATTGCTGCAGCAGGGACTTGGTGGAGAAGGATACCAGGTGCATGACTTAAATGGTCTTGGATCTGCAGTAATCAGAAGGAAGACCAGCACAGAAACTAGGAATAAGAAGCTGAATCTAGGAAGGAAGACAGGAAAAAAAAAGCAGGGAAAGATGGGGATGAGCAAAAATATTTTTTAGGACTTAGATACTTTTGTGTGCATGCTGGAGCTGACATTCGTTCCCTCCAGAACATTTCTCTGTTGCTGAGCAAATAACTCTGAAAGAAGACAAAGTGTGTTGTGTATGGCCTGTGGCAGGCCAGCTCATGCAGATTTTTGGCGCTGTTTTGAGTCCATCAGTGAAATTTGGGGAGCTCTGTACCCTAGATTTGAGATTACTGCCAGCATTGTAAGTGTCAGTGTAGTTTGTGGGTTTGTTGTAATTTTGAAGTTTCTAAAGGCACAAGGAAGGATCCTAAAAATAAAACTGAAAGATCTTTAATGTGATTTAATGTGTATTCCAAACCTTCAGATCTGCAGTAGCTAATGAAACCGCAAACAGCCTCATGTGGTTATGCATATGATAGTAATATGCTGTTTAAAAATAAACTTGGGCATATGATCATGTAGATGGTAAGCTATTAAAGATTTAATGAGTTATAGAGAATATTACAACTTGTATTTCATAATAGGCATCTAAGTATTTGTAGAGAAAGAATTAAAAAAATTCTCTGTATGTAAAGGTATCTTCTTCTCCCTTGCATGCTTTGTATGGACTTCTGCTAGATCACTACTCTTACTAGAACACAGGCATCTAACAGTAGTTTTACAGAGATCTGTTTTATGAAGTAAGATATTGAAGATACAGTGCCGAAAGTGCCCTCCTTGTCCTGATAGGCTGATGGCTTCCAGACCACTGTAATTAATGGTCTTTTGTTTTTGATGAACACAGCATATAAGTTTGTCCCAAGTGAGAGAGAAGATTGCAGCCTTGTACCTGCTGTTGGTACTATTTGCTGCATTTGTGTGGCTGTTCTCTCTGGTACTCTGTTACCAGCCCTTGTGCCTCTCCCTCTGTATAGTACCTGTTGTCACAGCATTGATCTTTGCAGATTCTAGAGCATGGTTGACTGTTCTGTCCTTAGCTATAGCTAAGTGCCTATTTTGTGGAGTATTCCCTCTCGTGTCGTCATTAGCTGTAGTCCTGTGTGTTTATGGAGATGGTGGGAGGAGAAGGGCTGTGAATGTGATGCTTTGGGGTCCATTCTTGGACTGAGCAAAGGTAAAAATAGACAGTGTGCACAACCAATTCTAAGGTGCAATTCATGAAAAAGCAGAAGTCCAAATATATGTATTATTTTATATTAACACACTATATTGTTTTCAAATTGGTATATTAATTTTAATCATAATAAAGGTTTTGTATTTGCTTCATCAAATGATTGCACTTTAAAATTCATGCATGCAGAAGTAATCATTCATACACCTTTCTCTGTTTGAGAGATTACACATTTCTTTCTATTCATATTCTTCCAGGTGACTTGGATTATTACTGGCTGGATCCTGCCACGTGGCACAGCAGGGAGACGTCCCCTATTAGTTCGGTAAGAAATACAAAAATAGGGATTCGTAAAATATGAGTTAAAATGTTTACTAATTATTTCAGTTCAACATAGATATTTGACTGTAAAAAGAATATTCTACACAAATCGTATGAAAATTTGTTTTAGACTGCCAAGGGAATGGAAATTAGAAAGAAATTTTTGTCAAAGTGTGTATTTGTAAAATTGCCTGAATTTTAACTTGACTTTTAATTCCTTTATAGACATGGCACTTAATTTCACTATGAACCACAGATAAAGTAGGTGTGAGTGTGATGCTGCTCTGGGAAAGATCAGTGATTTTTTTTACGTTGGAAAGTATAATTTTGATTTTATTATAAAATGAACCATATATAATATGGTAGACGCATAACATGCATTATTCTAAAACACAGAATTTATGAATGCTCTTTGCAGTAATGTAATTTAAAAGTAAATATTCAATTTGATTACTTAAGGTGTCTTTGAAATGTTTAATTGTATTGAATTTTGAAATGGATTATAATTCTATCTGTAGACTTAATGCTGAGATTTTCTTACAAGAGGGATAAAAGTTTAATATAGCCAGGGTCCAACAGAAATAATAATAGAAAACTCAGATACAATATGTAACACATCAGAAGGATATTTGTGTCTACTGTGACATGATGATACAGTAATTTTACTTGTTTATACATGTGCATCTAAATACTGGAGAATGGTCACTCTTCTTTAATTCCACTGCTTGATTTTTTTAACAGCATCCCGTAACGTGGCAGCCTTCCAAAGAGGGAGATCGCTTAATTGGGCGTGTTATTCTTAACAAGAGAACAACCATGCCTAAAGAATCAGGTGCATTACTGGGGCTAAAAGTAAGTATTACATAATTTATGTGCTGGATGAAAGGAAGTTCACTGACCTTAGACACAGAGGTGTAACACATTAAATCAGAGGACTCTCCATATGGTCTTTTGACAAAAAATGTATTCCTCTCTTTTGCTAAATTTTGAAAGTTATACAGATAAATTATGACTATAAATACATTTACTCCTATACAGTTTTCAGTTATCCGTGACAAAGGGGCTGAACCATTTTGATTAAAAAGGATGTTTATTCAGCTTCTTGTCTGCAAGATGTATACTGCACATGGCAATGCACTAATGGAGTCCCACCTTGTTTAGTCAAGTAATTCATCTTACAATCCACATACATAAATGTCATCTGGATGCAAATGCTTACAAGGTCAGTGTTTAAAAGCCACACAGCCATTTTAAAACAGAAACTGTGTAGAAAGTAACCAAATATTTACACAAAAATTTACAAAAAATCCTCCTAAATCATAGTAGAAGTATTAAATGTAATTCCAACTAATCTAGCACACCAAAATTGAGAGATTTGCAACACTGTCCAATTGATTTAAATCCCTAATTTACATTTTTAGCAGACTTTTAGGTTCATGTGTCTCAATTGCCAGAACACTTAAAAGAGAGTGCTGTTTCTGAAGCTAGCGGGGAATACAGTGTACCAGTTCAAGCATTTCTCACTCCGTGAGAAATTGAACATATATTTTTAAATCTATAGAACAACAAAGATGACTGATAGAATTTAATTTGGTGTCCTTCTGTTTCACCTGAGAACAACAGAAAGAATGCAAAATCTGAAATATTCCCACCTTGAAGTGAGATAATGTGGCATGGTAATACAAAAGATGAAAACAGCTTCACTCTAAGTGTTTAGTAGTCTATAGCACAAAGCTGCCAGCAAACAATTCTGTGTGAATATGTGAGAAAGAAAGGTTGCTCCAATAGGAAATGTAGAGTTGTAGAGTTTCTCTTTGATTTTTCAAGTTTTCAGTTGTATGTAATATGAACTAAGGCCATCATTGATACATTTTACACACTGTCATGTGACAATATTATTGGTGCATAGGCTTCTGGATCTTTTTTTGGTATTAAAGCTCCTGCTAGTTATTGTGATTGCAGCATGGGGGACTAATATCTAATGAACCATTATTCTACTGTTTCACTTCATTATAAAATTCCTCTGGGATATTCCTGACCAAAAGAAATAATCCAAACCCCTCACCTGGCTGGAGAGAGTAAGATAGTTAAAGAGATAGCAAGTTAACAAGACTACATTTTCTTTGTATTTTATTTAAAATCTGGCCTTTTGAGGGCACTAGTTTTTTTCCTGATGTTCCTGATCTCTGTATCCTGTAGTCATCTTCAAAAACAGATCTCTTTGGTTTCAGGTTATCTTCTGTTTAACAAAAGCCAGAAGTTGCTGGTTTGTCCTGTCATGTTGGATGAGAGTGCCTATGTTTTACCAGTGTCAACATTCTTGTGAATTTGTTGCCCCTATTTAATAGTAGTGTATTTGCTAAGTTTTCAATTGATTTCAATTCAGTTGGTCTGCATTTTGAGATTTCATACACTTGAAATGATGCATACTTGCAGTTTAAATTTGAATACATGACAGACAATTATATGTGAAAAGTGCATTTTCGTGTTATTTATTAAGAAGTTCTTCAACAAATGTAGCTATGTAGCAAACTGCATAAGATTGATTAGTCATACACTGTAAAAGGAATATCAACTTCATTCATTATTACTTCTGTCTTTAAGCCTCTCTAAAACCCAAATTGGCAATAGGTTTGCCTATGAACATTTCAAGTGTAATTTTAAAAATAATGTGAAAACTGATTAGACTATATATTTGTGACATCTGGTTTGTGTCTTGGAGACTCACAAATTTGTGATTAACTAGGTTGTTGGAGGAAAAATGACGGAATTAGGACGACTCGGTGCCTTCATTACCAAAGTGAAGAAAGGTAGCTTGGCTGATGTGGTGGGGCATCTCAGAGCAGGTAAATCAATCAGTTCCATATAAAATATAGTGCCTTTTCGTAATGGTCTATTGAATGCAACTTTTAATTTATACTAACATTTTTCCTGTGTTATGATAATACTTTTTAAATACAGAACAATACTGTAATGTTGTTATGAAATGCCATGGTTACCTACATTCTATTATGTCAATTGCTTGGGTGTATAAGCAAAACAAAAGACACTCCTGAGGCATGCTGGTAACAGTGTGACACTGTGACACTGGTAAATATTTGTTTGCTAGCTCAAGAGCTACTTATTACACTCCAGAGAAGCAATGCAAACATTTTTTTTTAAACTGATTGTGGCAAACAAAATTCACATCATTGGAGGACAACACACTGCATACACAGTGGATTTTATTAGTGTTCCTTTCAGTGTTAGCTGTTAAAAATGAAAATGAAAAACAAGCCAAAAAAATGGTCCTAAAATATTTAATTTCTATTAGATATATATATTGCACTTACAAATAAATGGCTGTGCTAATGGCACTTTTCAGGCTTCTAAATGAAGTGTGAATTATGCACAGCATTTGGTTTTCCAAGTCATTTCTTAATGGTTTATATTTTTACTATAGCTCTAAGCAGCTACTTTCTAAGTGTTGTTTTAGCTAAGTACCTATGTAGTGTCTTAAGAACCCAGAAGCTCCAATGCCAATGTGTATGGCTTTATTAAGGATAATTGTGTGAAGCAGCTAGTAATAAAGAACTAAAAAGGATGATGAGTCTCTAACAATATTCTACATTTTTGGCATATTTAATTTTTTCTTTCTTACCAAATCAATATGCATGGGGTTGATAGCACCAACTATTATAGTTGTTTATAGATTTTAAATTCAGACTATAATTACATAAACTAAATTTGTCTTCACTGATCTTAAACTTTTTAGGCTGAAATCCTAATTTTCTATTTCTGGTCTGGGTTTTTTTTTGGTTTTTTTAATGAAAGCTATTTTTAATTTCTAAAAGTAGCTTTAGAACCAGAATTATTTCCCAGAAAAAAATGCATTGTTTTGCATGCTTCCAATGAGTGAAAGTCTGTTTATCCTATTGCATGGGACTAAAGCACACAAAAAAAGCATGGATGAGTCCTTGCAGTTAGCAAAAAATCCTTTTGTCCTCATAAAAAATGTCAAAATTTGTGTAGTTGGTAAAGGTTTGAGTAATTGTACAAACTTAAGAAATTTTAATAACTGCAAATATGAAGTTTTGCATGAGGAACAGAACATCCTTGTGAAAGAGTAAGCACTGGGAGCTAACCAGCCATAAAGCACCTTGGCAGGAAAGTGTCTGAAGGTTTCACAACAGCTCTTTCATGATTTTAAAATATTTTAATGTTACTTGAAAATATAAATTTTGGTCTTCATAAAATAATATGAAAATCAGATAAACTTCTCTTTAAATTCAAGGGGATGAAGTTCTAGAATGGAATGGTAAACCCTTGCCTGGAGCTACAAATGAAGAAGTTTACAACATTATTTTAGAATCAAAATCAGAACCTCAAGTTGAAATCATTGTTTCAAGGCCTATTGGGTAAGGCAAAAGACTTGCTTCTTAAGCATAGTTATTACTTTTGGCAATAGGAATCTTAAGGGGATTATTTGTGAGTTAATTACTTTTTATTTCTTAATAATGGGATACAATTCTTTCTCTGTTACTGACATTCTGTATAGTCTGTTTTCTTCACTACCATTTACAGTCTTGTGTCTTTGCAGTGACGTATAAGCATAAATGTTGTTTTCTGTGTGGTCAAAGTCCTGTAAAGGCTTTTCTCAAGTGGCAAACAAAAACTGGTAGATTAGGTACACTTGTGCATGACAAACTTCTGGTTGCCAGGCTTTCACCCTGCTAGATCTGAATAACTTACAAAGATCATCATGAGTGGAGGGAAGCATTGCAGGATTCTAATAAGCCAATACTAGTAGGATTTTAAACAGGCCTTCTTTAAAGAGCTAAAAAAATGAAACACAAAACTTGTAATTGAAGAGACTGTATTTGCCCTTAAATGATTGTTATCTAAGTCAAATATAGAAGCAAAAGCTTCAATAAAAAATTACCATTAATGTGTTATGTTTGTAATCTCTGGTTTTTTATTATGAACCCAGGTTTGGGGTTTTGTGTCAACAATTCTTATATTCTCAATTTCCCAAATAAACCTTAGACTGAAAATAAAACTTTTCAAGCTGATAAAATTAGGGGTATTGGCCTTGCATTAGTGATATCAGGAATGTTTTGAGCAAAGTCTTACAAAATTGAATATGAATAAATTACTGTAAATTCACATTCACCTTGCGAAAGAGTCACATGGTTTACAATAAGAAGTGATTCTTTTGAATTTGCTATTTTCATTTTAATTATAAATTTTGCTTGTCTCAAATATACTTTTTCAGTTTTAGAAACAAAAAATTATTCATTTTCTTTCTGACTAAAATATTCTTCTTTTACATTTAGGTTACTGATTTTGTCTGTGCTATTTGAGTGTAGCTCTATTTAGCAAACAAATTTTGCCTTTTTAATGGCAATCTCTATCAAATAAGATTGACATTAATAGGTAATTCCACCTATCAATTTGACCTTCTAATGAAAGATGAAAGTCTGATGCAGTAAGAGTGGCTGTTAAACACTAAAATTACCATCCAGCTGAAGTCTGTGGGGAAGTAGAAGCTTTATTTTGCATTTTTTGAGTCAGATAAATTAGGAGATATTCTTAAATTCAGTTGCCTTAAGGCATATTATTTGAAGTCTAGTTTTTATATTTAACTCAGCAAAAAATAAATATGTGTATACCGGACATGACTTAAATTCCACATCTCAGCTGAAGAAAACATGGAAATAGATTTGTATCAACTGTACAACTGATGCAAAAGGAAATGCTAGATTAGCATTTTAAACAATGGACTTTAGAAATATTTGTTGCTGTCAATATTGCAAATGTTGTTGTGCCCTTAAACTTTTAAGATAATTTCAGTATTAAACCAAATATATTCTTTTAGTTTACAAATTTGATAAATCTATTAGTTTGGAAAAATTTGGTACAAAGTGTCTGCATGCCAGTGCCACATTCCTGAAGAAAAACTAAAAAATAACACCCTTTTTCTGAAGTTTGTTCAAAATCAAAGGATGTTCCTGAATATGAACAGTGGATTTTACGCTAGAAAAGTGCAGCCAGAGATAGTACCAATAAAATGTGAAGTTTTTCTTTGGGTGGTGCAAGAATATTTTTTCAGTAAATTGTCAAAAATAGAGCACATCAACTTTTACTTTTATTTCGAGATAAATGGAGTCTTAGCATGGAGGTTTTTGCATAATGAAACAACATTTTTCTTGTAGAGTTGTGTCTCAATAGATTTTAATTTTTTTTTTTTCTTTTGCTTGAGGGTCAGGTTGTTTTTTGGGGTTTTTATGAGAACAAATAAATATCCTAGAGAATAGAACTTTAAAGTCAGATCCCTTCTAACCTGCAGTAATGAGTCAAAGTCCAGTTGTTTTATGTCAGACTGGGATTTACCTGTCTGTCATCTGAAAAGAACTGAAAGTTTCAGACCTTGTACAACAGAGAAAATCCTAATAGTAGTTATCAAAAGAAAGAGCATGCTGCACAGGATTTTCTTTTCCCCTTTTTTCTTTTCTCTTAATAAATATGATGTATGTAAATTTTGTTGTGTAATGGAAAAAGGTTTGCTCGCATTAACAGATCACTTTGATTTTGTCCCCAGCTCCACTTTGACTTGTTTTTAAACTGTGTGATGGTTTCAGATTCATGACAGGGAATTTTATTTCATCCCATCCAACACATCTAGTATGTCAAAGTTTGGTAGGTACTTTTAGGTGCTGACTAAGCAAAGTTGAAATTGCTTGATACAGCATGAAGTGATAATCCATTACAGCTAAAATTCCTGTGAGGGAATAACTTCCCGAAAGGCCTGAAAATGGTATTTCATCTATATAATTTAAGTGTTTTCATCTCTCAGTATTAATAATGCAAATAATGTATGAGCACTTTTAATGGTTTTGATTTAAAAATTCCTAGCATATTAGGTCTAAAAAGCCCAAATATGACACAGTTTGCCTTAAGTGGATAATGGAAGGACTGTAAATCCACAAATTAGACTGCCAGTTACAAAATCGCAGTCTAAACAATTTGTTCAGTCTTGTAAATTTGGATTTCTGAGTCTGCTAGCAAATGTAATTTTAAGTAATGGATAATTGTAGGATGTTTGTTAGAGAAAAATGTGAAGCACATAACACTATTAGCAGCTAAAGGCATAACAACAATAAACAGTATAACCGCAATAGTACCGTGGAAACTCCATAGAAACTAATTGACACTAATTCTAATGGCTGCAACACAAGGTAGATAAGAAACCTATAAAAAGTAGAATTAATGGGCTGGCTATCTCAATATGAAAAGAATTATCTGTGAATATGCATACTCTGTGAGAGGTGGTTAATATAGGACAGCACAGAAAATCCTCTGGCAGTGTACTTTTTGGAGGAGAAGCGTGGCATAACTAACTCACCATCTCTTGTATGCTCTATGGGATAGTGCAGGTAAAACAAATGTTTTTTTTCATTTGTCTCTGCTTTCTTTGTCAGATGCTAGCTCTCTTTGCTTAGATTTCCACAGGTAATGCTGCCAAAACTGCTGTTTCTCTGATATGATTCAGTTCCTCTGTGCAGGGTCTGTTATTGTGGTCTAGGTCCTGGCAAGGAGGTTCAACCTCCATCATAAACCAGGCAGTGCTGAACTCCTGAGAGCTGCTCAAGTCATTAGTGCAAACTGCAGATTGATCTCCATGTTCTGATGGGAAGGAATGGTTTTGGAAATAGCAGGATGAGCGCTGGGGAGAGGTACTCAGACACTCTTTAGAAACTCCCAAGGGTGTAGATTATCATACATCTGTTCCTAGAACAACCTAAAAAGTGTGAGTTACAACCACATTTGAATTTGGTTTATTTTCAGAGATCAGTATCTTGACTATATCCCTCAGAGAAATTATAGGTGTTCTGTGCAAAATAATGATTCTCACAAACCATATATCTGCACAGAGAAGTTTCAGCCTATGGTATAGTTTGGTTTAATTTATATAGTCCTTGAGGTGTGAAAGGATCAGACATAAGATAATAATATGTAATACCATGTAAAACCACAACGTACCTTTGTTCCAAGGTAGAGATAGAAAGACAAAGTTTGAAGTTGTCACCTCTTTACTGCAGGTGTGTCTGACACTACTTTTCTCAAGTTCATATTGCTCCAGAGGGGAGTAAAATTTTGTTACTGTATTAAATAAGCAGTTGTGAAACTTTTCACTTTGTTTTACTTTGACTAGTCTAGTTTTGAATATTTTAAGTCATGCGCTACTATTTCTTCTAAAGGGCTTTTTTGCAAATTGTATGTCAGAATATTTTCTGCAGTGCAAAATTAAAAGCAGGCTAGATAAGACTAATTTTCATACATGAAAAGTTTCAGATTATAGTTTCAGAATGTTCATTCTTTAATTAAAATGCCAACATTTAATCCTCTTGTAAGCTGTGTGGATCTGTTTCTCATGTTAATTTATTACTAAATTTTTCTGTGTTGGTTGTAATACCGTGACAGTGCCTTAGCATAAATATGAATCAGTTATTAAATGCTTATATGTGTAATTAATATTTGAAGTTTATTTTTAGCCTTTTTTTATTTTTTTCTACTGTATTGTTGACAATACGAGAAAAAAAAAATCCAAACAGAATTAGTTTTAGTCTTTCTCTAACCACACCAGGACTACAGAACTTGAAAATGTTTGGGCAGCACTTTCTATGTTGAAACAGTCCTCGCAAATGTGAACCTTCATTTAGATATCCTAAAAGTGATGTTGTTACAAACAGTGCTATCCTGTGGATAAGAAAATAAGAAAAAAATAGCAAAAAAAAATATTGCAGACTTAACATTGTGTTGAACAGAAAAATCTGTTTGATTATGGTAAGTAAATACTTCGGACTGATGAGAAATGCCCTGACCTGAAAAAGAGAAAATGACAAGAGGAAGAAAACTGCACAGCAGCCCTGTTGTGCTACAGGTCATTAATCTGTTCATATGTGAGTAGAATAGTACTGTGCCATGTCAAGGAAGACTAATCCAGCTATAATTCCATGAGTTTGAGGAAACCACATTTTTCTTGACTCATGAGGTCAAAGCAAGGAGAAGCACATTCTTGTTTAGTGATATGTGGTTTGAGCTGATTTGAGACATCAACATAGAGCTGAAATAGTCTATTTTAGAACACAGGCACCACAAGTTTAAATTGCAGGACATAAAAAGTGAGTTTAAGGCTCAGTGATTGGGCACCGTTGCATTCTTTTTCTGATATAAGTGCCTGCTTCTTTTTCATAAGTGACTTTTATATACCTAAGAGGCTTAGTTTTATTGATTTCCAAGTCAGAAAGATTTCTGTGTTTCACTGTGCAGACTGTCTGAATGCCTTTTAAATTCTCAACTATAGACTTAAAATCTTGTAAATGTTTTTCAGAAATGTTATTGCACTTCCAATTTTGGATTAGTCTGTGTGGATGAAAATACATTCAAGTAATTCACTGAAGAGTTTTGTTCCCATTTCCGTCCTCTGCTGCTTTGTTAAGATTTGTGCAATACTAGATGATTTTTGCTTTTGTAATGTATTTTCAATGATGGCTGAGAATAGACAGAGCCAGGAACTAGCATCATTCAGATTCTGATGGAAGAGTAAATTTATTGATGGGAAAACAGTGATAGATGTGTGTGGACTTAATAATTTTATCTTGCTTATAATCTGTTATATATCCAATACATGTTGGATATGTATGTGTTGAAAAATGTCCACACCCAATTGTAATATGGTTTAATTTTCTTTTATCCTTTGGAAAAATGCATTATTCACTTGTTTGTTTAACATTGTTAATGTTCTTTCTTTTCTTTTTTTATTATTGTAAGACATTTTCATCAGTTTCATTCTCTGAACTCCTTGAGACATTTATATAAAAATTACTAGTGAGTTAATCTTTGTCTTATTTTTTTGATTTTTGTTCCTACAAAAACAGTTGAACACCCATAGCTGTACTTCCTTTTGGCAAATGAAGAACAGCTATGTACTGTATATTCTCTTTCTTTATTGTTCCAGTTGTTAAAGTATCCGGTAATCCATTCACAATGTTAACGTTGTAGCGCTCATATTGTTATATCTGCTAGTTCCTTAACCTGAAGGTAGTTTGTGTTAGTGTGATTTTCACGAATGGTGGTGGAAAGTATGTCTTTAAATGTTTCCCCTTTCTCTCCTTGTAACCTGTTAGAACAGAAACAGATCCATGTTTCCAAAAAACTGTCCCAACAATGTATTTGTCATGGCCGAAGGTCGTCTCTGTTGTTTCTAATTACTATATATTCACATTTTAGTGATATTCCACGGATTCCAGAGACTTCCCACCCCCCATTAGAGTCTAGTGAGTAAAAACCTTGTTCCTTTTCTTTAAGCATGATCTTGTACCCAGCTAAGTTATTTCAGCTATGGAACTTCTGAAATATGATCTGTGGAAGTTGCATTAGCTCTGAGGTTTTTGCATGACAAAATTCAATGTGTATTTGGTCTTGTGTGTTAAGTTTGAAGCAATATGGATTTTATTAAACATATACAGATTTCAGATCTTAGCAGAATTCTGATTTTTAATTCTATAACTTGTGTTGTTAGCACCAAAATAATAATTTATTTCCCCTAACGTAAGAGAGAGAACAGGTATAAGGGACTGCCAAATGTAAAAATGGTGTCAGGATTTCACCTCCTGCACCATGCAGACTAAGTCCAGAGTTCTTGTTTATTTTTTAAACAAGAAAACCTTGCTTAGGTGAGTTTTTAGTGCATATTTCAAAAGACATTCTAACTATGCCATTTGAATGTTTTCAGCCAGAGTATTTGAGGGCTGTGGTTCCCAGTCCTTTCCCATCTGAGCCTTTCCTGAGATGCAAATAGAAACCTTCCCTGGGTGTGGGAAGGTGTGTTTACTTGTAACAAGCTCATATCATTAGGGAGGGCTCTGTTTCACTAGGGGAGAGCTGATGATGTCCAGCAGTTGCTGAAATATCCTCCATGCCAGATGCATGCCCTGCATGTCTTCCTATTAAAATTTCAGAGGCTGCTGGGAGTATAATCCATACAACAGATGTGGTTTATTCATTAAAGACTTAGTATCAGAGTACTTTGCGTGGAAAGGCAGATGTGTAATTCAGTCAGAGAACAGTATTTTATTTAAAACACCTGCTATGGTTTGATGCATGAGAGACTCTTTTTTAATATGTTATTTCAAATAAACCAAAAAATGACAGGTTTAATCCAGGGTGTAGGGGTAAACAAGCAGTCTTTTCACTGTGTTTTCTACATCAACTTTAAACAATTCAAAGAAAAAGCAGTTTATAAGTTATCCAAATTTTGGATCATAAATTCATGTGTTTATCTTGTGATTTTAGGTTCAAGTTCTTTTGAATCTCAGAAGATGGAAAGGCCTTCTATTTCTGTTATATCTCCAACTAGCCCTGGAGCCCTACGGGATGCACCTCAGGTCCTACCAGGGCAGCTTTCTGTGAGCATATTTTGATTTTCTTGAGTTTTTAAAGGAAGTCTGTGAAGTGCTGGTCCCTCAGCTCTGCACATTCCCAAGGTCTATTGGGAGGCCAAGAGAAATGTTCAGTGTTGGTAAAGATTAACATCTTTCAAAAGTTTTTTTTGACACCCTCCATACACACTAACAAGCAATCACTGTAATCACAGAAGACAAAATTGTTGTCTTAATACACCCAAGAGTGCAGGAATTGATGCTGAGGAAAGCCCATAAAAGTGCCTTGAAACTTGTCATTTTGCAGCTTCTGCATTGAAAATAGTGGCTTTGCTGAACATGTCCAATAATCTGCATCTGCAGACTGCGAGCAGATTATCACTATTTTCTTTATGGGATCATTTAAAGGACTGTGTATTTGGCAAGCATTACACTATTCAGTAATGCATTTTAATTTAGATACATCTTGGAACTTTCTTGAAATACTAATTGAAATCCTGGTTATTAAAAACATTGTCGGTACTTAGACTTTGTTTTCTACATTCTTTTTTTTTTTTTATATTGATCATGTTAGTTTATGAGTATACAGCAGGCTTAAAAATTTCCTGATTATGATTCTCTTAAGAAGTTATATAGCTTTATATTATTGTTTCCATGAACTCTTTTGAAAGGGTGACAAATCTGAGTAGATAGATTTTGACTATGCATTGAGATTAGATGCAGGCAGAGCTTCCTATTTAATGTAGCTTTTAAGGTGCAGTGCTAAGACATGCTGCTTTAGGTGTACCTACAGACCCAAGATTGTGCAGTGAGTACAGTAAACAATGTTAGTACAATCAGGCATCATAATTTTATTCAGCTGTGATAAATATAACAGTCTATGGTACATACCATCATCTTTTCCATCTAACCTAATTAAATATTAAGGGATATTAAATGCAATTTATCTCATTGTCTCTGGGAACAATTTTATGTTGTGGTTATTTTTGATGCAATCTGAAAATTCTGCTTCTTCTCCATTTTCAGTAATGTTTTCTGGTAACTTCATTCCTGTAGGTTAAACTATGGTATGACAAAGTGGGACATCAGTTAATAGTAAATGTTCTACAAGCAACAGATTTGCCACCAAGAGTAGATGGACGCCCCAGAAATCCCTATGTAAAAATGTATTTTCTTCCAGACAGAAGGTAACAGTATTCCAGTTTAGAAAATTATGTTTTAATTTACCATGTATTGGATCAACTTTTAATGAGTGCTTATGAAGAACTTATTTTTACATTTTTTTATAGCTAGATTAATTATAACAAAAAATTACACTTGAATCATGTAAGTCAGTATCAATTTAACTTTGTGGTCTTTTATAAGAATGTGTTCCACTGTGAAGAAAATGCTTTCTTCATTTAGGCATTTTTGCCTAAGAGAAAAAGAAAACAGTTACGTGCTGATGAGTGCATGGTATTTTCTGATTTATCTCTATGAATAATTTACAAAAAATATTTATGTTGCAGCGATAAAAGTAAAAGAAGGACCAAAACAGTAAAGAAAAGTCTAGAGCCAAAATGGAATCAAACTTTTCTCTACTCACATGTACATCGTAGAGATTTTAGAGAGCGAATGCTTGAAATTACTGTATGGGATCAGCCAAGAGTACAAGAAGAAGAGAGTGAATTCCTTGGAGAGGTGATGCATAAAATCACATTTTTTCTGAGTTCATTGCTTGGGATTGAGTACATATGCATATGTACTTTGTATATGTGTTTCTCTGTGTGCCTTCAAAGTAAAATTGAAACCTGATGATTTTTCTACTAGATTCTTATAGAGCTGGAGACAGCACTTTTAGATGATGAACCACATTGGTATAAGCTACAGACTCATGATGAATCTTCACTACCTCTGCCTCAGCCATCACCATTCATGCCAAGAAGACATGTTCATGGTGGAGAAAGCACTAGCAAAAAATTACAAAGTAGGTCCAAATTCCATTAGATCTCTTAAATTTTAAGTTAGAAATGCTGGATAGGGTGTAATGGTACTTAAATTTCAAATAAAAAAGATACTATTTCGTAGTCTTTAAAAATAATGAAAATGTGTGGCAGAAAGGCAATTTAAATTATGACATTATGACACGTCAGTCTTATAATTGTGACATAAAACTTTTAAGTGCATGAAACCTGCTGGAATTGATTTGGCTTTCAATAGCAAAACAAAATTGTTCAAAGATTTTTTCTTCATAGTTTTTTTTTTTAAATAGAAAGATGAAGTTTATAATTATTGGATACTTTTAAAAAAATTAAAAGCATTTTATTTTTAAAAAAGAAGTCCTTAAAGACTTACAAGGCTTAAAAACACTTTTCATCATAAAGTTAGTCTCAACCTCCAATATGCTCACTAAAGTGTACTTTTGCAGAAAAGAGAAATTGTATTCATGTATTTGGGAGGTACAGTTGTTTCCATGAATCTGATTTCAGGTTTGTATGAGGCATGTTAAAAGGATATATTTCAACATTGTACTTTCTCTGTTCATTTAAATTAAGATTTATTTAGAAATATGAAAGATGTAGAGGATTGTTTTAAAATACACTTCCAAGCTATTATTCTGATTTTTCTAAAACATGGAAGACATTCACTCCAGCCAATGCGTAGGAAATCGCTGCACATTCAGGAATGAACTATAAATATGTAAATATTACTGCTGTAATTGCTGCATAGATCCAAATGGAGGATATGTATATAGACAGCAAATTAAAGGTTAGTTTTTGTGAGATATTTGAGTTTTTTCTAAAAGCTGGCAGTGCTGTTTCCTCTTCCTCTCTCTCACCATATGCTGCCTCATCTCCTTTCCCGTTCAGTAAGCTGATTCAGCATATTCACTGAAGTAGCATGAAAGTGGTTTTTTCCTTTACTTGAGTTTTGCTTTTGGAGGCTTAGTGAGATAAACTAGCCTAGCAGAGGATTACTTGAGGACTTGAGGGGAGGAGAAAGGGAAAAGAGGCTGCAGCAGCTGTAAGATGTTAAATTGGCTCAGCTGTCTTGTGAAGCATCAGTTATTCACTGCAGTTTAGTTCTCCTTCTCTATTGTTTTGACTTAAAAGCATCTTTTTGGTTTCATTATTTTGTTAAATGAAGTTATTCTTATATATTGTAACATGACCAGATGTTCAGGTATTTGTTTACCTTACTGTTGTGCAGGATCTCGGCCAATCAGTGATAGTGACATCTCAGATTTTGATGTTGATGATGGTATTGGAGTTGTTCCTCCAGGTGCGTGGATGAACAGCATGGTCCTGCTTTCCTTTTCTTCTTCCTCTTCTTTGCTTGTTTGGATTTTTTTTTTTTTCTTTATAATATTTTGGAATATTTAGGATACTGGTTTTGGGGAGTGCATTGTAGAAAAAGCAGTTTTCCTGATTATTCCATGGTACCTGTCCCATACCTGGTAAATTAAAAGATTCTACTATTCATTAATTTATATTTATTTTGCATATCACTCGTCATATGGCACCCACTTCTTGGTTCAAACTGGTTAATTTTTTACTTTGTCACGCTCCAAGCATTATTTAAAATACAAATTAAATTTAAAAGATGCCCACATTTTAAAATAGTTATGATTTCAGTTTTTATTGAAAGCATTTTTTTTTATTATTTTGCTTTTTGCTTGAAACTTAGTTTTAATGCAGTCTCCCATGGACTTTATTGATAATGCATGGCAGTAGATTAAGATGCATGTAGCATGGCTGTATCTTTTATAGTTTTCATAAGCCTTCATGAACTATCATTACCCTAAATGTTCATAAATATTTACTTGTAGAGACTGTCATGGTTTGAATTTTAGTTCAGCATTCCTACATACTGAAAATCTTGAGGACTATCTTGGATACCGCAGTCTTCTAGTTCTTGTTCACTGTTGCCACAAGTCAGATAAATACATTTCCCAATTGTCCCAAGCTAACTGAGGAGTCACTATGTCATTGCCAGCACCAAATCAATTTTTCTGTGGATCTTCCTGATGAAAATCACTGAATTAAATCATGGTGGCATTCAGAAAGCTTTCTGTCTTCATGGTCTGTGTTTAAAATAATCTCACAATTTATTTATCCACTAAATAACTGTACAAATAAATCACATATCTTATTAAAGTTCTATCCTCTTGATGTTAATGGAGACAAATTCTCCTTCCTTTGATGCTGATTGGGTTCTTTTCTTATTTTATATACTTTGCTCCTCAGTTGCTAAGAGAGAAATTCCTTCATGTATGCCTAGTTAGGATATTTGATATTCTTACATCAGCAGAGAGAGTAAGCATTTAAAATTAAATATAAATAATTGGCTCTAAATATTTTTCCTGGGTTTTTTTTAGTTTTTTTCTTTTTTTTTTTGGGGGGGGGGGCGGTTATAGTTGAAAATGTAGATACTGGTTTATCTTTTTAGGCTTACTTACATTTAAAGTTTCAGTATATTCTATTACGAACTGGGGCTTTTTCTCAGCTGCCAGTCCTTCCATGCATCCATTTGAAATAAATAATTTTCCACCTGACAGGTAGCATTCAAAATGGTTCAGCTGCATGTATTGGACTTTGTTCGCTGGCCAGCATTTGAATAACTGACTCTTACTGACATTTCTTTGGACTTCATACTTGGGTGTGCCTTTGATGAACACACAGATCCAAACTTTCTCAGAGATCACTGTAGAAAATAGCAGGATTTAATTTTTAGAACTGGATTTGCAATGATCTGAGAGAATATATCTAAGTCAAAAATTGAAGGGCATAGTGAGGAAGCTCCTTCTGAAGTCCACTTAAACAGAGACATTCTGCTAGTTCACTTGACCAAGAACAAATTTGTCCATTTTGAGTTTAATTGATGCATTTGTTCAGCAATTCTAAGTGAAGTTCATGTGTTTGTGATTCCTCTGTGAAGTGAATGTGCATATAAGGGTGTGGGGTTTGCATGTGCAACCTAAATTCTTAAAAGGGAGACGGACTTCAGGCACAGGGACAATGAGTCATCAGCCACAGATCTATGAAAGCTTAGACAGTGTATGGAAATGTGTTTTGCAGTAAGACCTGGGAAACGTTTGCAGTCCCAGTGTCTGTCAAATTGTTTGAAAACCTTAGGCACAGATTCACAAATGTGACTGGATATCAAGTTCATATCTATGCATTTCTACCCTCCTATCCAACCTTCTTAACTTGCCTTGTTGCTAAATTGTTAAGCCTTTGGACTGCTCCCTTCATTTGCACTGAATGAACAGTGCACTATCTTCTCCATAGAGCAGACTCCTTTGTTAAACCTAAGTTCCATGCAAGTTCCCTTTTGTTCTGCAGAGCCTTTACCCCTACTCTCCTCCTGCCCTTCAGTACCAAGGTCCTCACCAGAGTGCACCCCAGCGCTTGTCTGGTTCAGATTTCTCACACATTCTCTTGCACAGTGTGCATGTGGGAAGGAGCAGAAAATATCCATATTTCCCTTTAATGTCATATGGTGAGGCACCATTTTGGAATAGCCTTATTGGCTTCAACCAGATTAGTCTAGTTTTAAGATACTCCTTTGCATGAGAAGTAAGAATATCAAAATTGAGTTTACAACATTTGATGCATAAGAAAATATTTCCCTTTAAAGACCTGTCCAAGCTGTAGGCTGCCAGCTTCTCCATGAGAATCCTGGGTAAACAGTGTACAAGATTTTAATAATTTAAAGTAAACAACATCCACAGCCTTTCTGTCATCCACTAAGAGAGTGGTCTTGTCATAGATCAAGTTAGTCAGGCAGAATCTCCTGAAAGTTATTAATTTTCTCTTTTTCCTGAAGTATGGAGAAAAAAAATAAAGTTATTTAGCCACCTTAGAATCTCAAAATTTTCACAACAGTTATTGCTCATTTTCTAACAAATAAACACAAAACTACAAAATGTAAAAGCAGAAAATTTCACTTCATCTCCAAGCTGCAAGCTGAAAATATGAAGGAAAATAGTTTTGCTATTTTAACTAACCTTGAAAATCCTTAAAGCTATAATTTCAATTTTTTTACCAATTGTTAAGGTAAATGCAGTGTTAGAATTTATTAATAACATAGAAAATTATTTTCCTAGAAATTTCAGCAGCTGCGAAGAACTTGTCAGTGGAAGCAAAGATTGTTATATCAAAAATAGTGGTACTTTAATAAATTCCAAAATATTTTAAGAAAAGTATTATTCCCTTGTCATATCACTAATTAATTAATCTTACCTTTCGTGTAATTATACCATCCTCATTTATTAGTAGTTCCTTGCAGTGATATGCCTATCTTTTTTTTAATCAGCTCTTAGATATGTTCATAAAAGTATATCAACAGCTGAAAGTAACTTTAATTTCAAGCTCAGGTTTAACAAAAATTGTTTTGACAGGGTTTTTGTGGTATGCTGACATCTGTTTAAAATAAGAAAATATTCTTTTAAGTCACTCAACCTCTGCATATATGAGAGATGCTCAAGTCTCAAGTAAGCTTGTGATGCTGAGCTGTTCTTAAACCAGTCACTCTGTCTGTATGGTACTGGGCAGCCCAGTACTCCATAAGGGTCAGTGAAGATTTTAATAAAATCTGAACATGTTTTGAGACCAATCTGTTTAACTAAAGGTTCAGAAACTTCCTTAATTAAAAACAAAACAAAAAAACTGATATACAGTTGGCAATATCCCCAGTGGTGTTTTCAATGAGCTGCATTGCTTATGCTGTGGGTAACTCTTCAGAGCAGTTTCTTTTTCTGTCACATGTAACCTGTATGAATGTATTTGCCTTCCTTCTGTAGCAGCAGGGTGACATCAATACAATACCTTGTCATTGTCTGTGTTGTCCTTAAGAAAAAATAATATAATTCTGGTATCAAATGTTTGCTAGAACCATTTTTATCATCCATCCTGCATTCATTTCCTGTCACACCTGACAGTTTCCCATGAGCAACTGAGAAACTTCTGCATAAATTACCATCAGCTTGGTTACTGCTATCATGCTGGTCCATGCGAAATTTTTCTCTCTACTCACCCTGAAGTGCACAGAGCCTTTGTATTTGAGGATATGAGGAAATGCTACTGTTCCTGTCACTGTCATGGTCACTGTGAAAGTATGGGTGTGATTTAACCAGTTTGACAATTCTTGAATTAATTGTTGTGATAAGTATGAATTACTGTCTCTGTTCTGTAAGCTTTGTGTACACACACTGCATAAGCTTCAGGTATTGTTCCCTAGACAGCTGGCCTATGCAAACTATATAACATAAAATCATCTTTCTATACTAGACTTCTGAGTTTACAGGATAATCCTATATGCAGTTTTTTAGGGAGACTAGAAATGCTCTAGAGATATATTTTAAATTCATATTTCATTTTTTAAACTTAAATTGTATTTAATTTAATACAATTGCCTAAAGATTGGAAAAAAGTTCAGGATTTATTTGGTTTTAGTGTCTAATATATGTAAACTGTTCTTCTTGCTGATAGAGATGACAGGATTTTTTCTAGCACAAGCTTATTTGGAAAATGAAATATCTTTTTGCAAATACAGCTTAGATTTAGTTATCCTGGGAAAGGGAATACATCCAGCTTTTGTCATATATTTTCTTCCTCTAACAAAAGACCTAGACATTTTCTGCACCAGTTGTGGCTTGTGAATTTCTATTGAAGTCCTGAGAGAATCCCCCTTTTGCTTCAAAATCTGCACCCAATCCTTGTCCTGAGATCAGGGAGATCCTCATGTTTCTTTATAATTTTATTACAGACTCTGAAACCCTTTTTGGCAGGTAAGGTATTCCAGCATCACAACATATCAAAACCTGCAGAACATTGGAGTCCTGCTTTGTTAAAGGGTTGACAAACTCCAGTAGATAGTTCCATGCATGCTCCCAACTTTTAGAGGCCATTAGGATTCATTGGTAAACTCTTCCACATTTTGGGAAAACAGTGTGAATGCTTCTTTGATGTTTGTGGTCAGGGTTCAAGCTTGCAGCTAAGGAGGTTATTAAATGTTATTGAACACATGATCAAGCCTAATGCAGACTCTATATACAGGGCACACTTTTAAAAGAGGGACTGCTTGTAATTTGGTAGAAGACCAGAGAAGAACTAGAAGAATTGTACAAATTATATAAAATATTAAAAAAACCCCTCAAAGTTAAAACCTGTAATGAAATCCATAAAAAGTGCAATTTATTTTAATTTATTAAAAATTATTTATTAAAATTTTATTTTAAAAATTAATTTATTAAATTTATTAAAATCATAGTCTTTTCCTGCGTGAAAAGAAAATTTCAGATATAGGCTGGTTTTTTAGCTGAACAAAATCACACATTGCAGTGATTTTAATGCCAGACAGATTCAGAGAAGGAAAATTATTATTTTGATACCTAAGCAAGAATTCATTAAGTGATTAAAGGACTATTTAAGGGATGACTTTCTATATCATTAGGGGATTTTCTGTCAAGTGATTCCTGTAATCTCATTTAAATGCCTAGAAATGAGCAACCTAAGTCTGAGCAGATCTCCTTAGGCTCTTTTGGAAAGATAAGAGGTACCTTTTGAAAGCTGTTATCTTGCTGAGCTTCATTGTCTAGTTTTGCATGGGATTCAAAACAAGGCAAACAGTGTGTTACATAGAAAAAGACACAACAACATTGAAATATTGAAAATGAACTAACATTCTACTATTTTTTTTTTTAATCCTGTTTAAAAAATAGCATGAGAAATTTTGCCGCTTAGTCATAGTATTTGGAAAAAAAAATTCTGCAAAGTATGCAACACCCAATATTCAGTACAATATACTCTAAATCCTAGTAGTTTTTTAAAGTAGATGGCTTTGGCCAAGTTCAGTAGGAGGACATCTTTGTGTTTAACTGAAACAAGAGGCAGAAAGATGCTTTATATATGAGCAGCCCTGTGTGAGTCTGTGCTGTTGTATGCAGACATGGTTTCTCCATTTTTTGGATGAGGTAAACCTGCACTGTTTAGATTCCTTTCAAATATTTTTTTTATATGCACAAAATACCCAGAATATTCTTCCCCAAGTAAGAAAACTGCTTCACATCTTCCAGTACATCAAAAAGTCTCATTTATTCAGTCTCTGAACATGTAGACATTTAAAGGTAATGCTAGTAATTTATTCTGCATGATACATCGGGATGTACGACAGCTGAATGATGACCTGAAAGTTGTGTAAGGGTTTGGATACGTGCTCCTGGAAGACTAGCCACCTGAATTGTTTCTAAACCCAGACCTTTATTCTCTAATTGCCTTTTGTTACCCTCTTGCCAGTAGGTTATAGGTCTAGTACTAGAGAAAGCAAATCCACAACGCTAACTGTGCCAGAACAGCAAAGAACAACAACACATCATCGTTCACGTTCTGTGTCTCCTCACCGTGGTGACGATCAGGGCAGGCCCCGTTCACGTTTACCAAATGTGCCATTACAGAGGTAGGCATCACAAGAGAAACAAAGTGCTTTCATGCTTGTATAATGTGGCATTATTAACTTTTCTCTTGTTCAGGAATTTTTCACTATTTTAATGCTTGGTTTTTGTATCTAAATTTATTAGTGCAGTATTTAGACTTGATATATGCTTTTATTAGTCACTAAAGAGCACTCATGGGAGGAATCATAACTTTGTAAGAGCTACCTCTTTTTACTCATATTTTCTCAGTGATTTATCATCTGTGTACGATAACTAATATATGGGTTTGGAAATTTTTTTTTCAGTCAGTGGCCAAATCTTCTATGAAGCCACTTAAGTATATTTGTAGGGTAATAGTGGCATGTATAAATTGCATAATTTTTAATGGCATTCTTTCAGATATCATGTATTAATAATTTATTATTAGAAACTTCCTTCAAAAAACTTGTACTGTGATCCATTGTTATTCATGAGAAGATTATCATATATATTTCTGCTTTTCAGGAGTTTAGATGAAATTCATCAAATGAGAAGATCACGTTCTCCAACTAGACACCATGATGCCTCCAGAACTCCAGTTGATTACAGATCCAGAGAGATGGATAGTCAGTATTTGTCTGATCAAGAAAGGTACATCGTCAGCCTGAACGTGGAAAATAGTTTAGAAACGTCTTTGTCAGTTTGCCTAATTTTCAAGTTTTCATTAGAAATGTGACTGATAGCAATGGTGAAGGGAGAGAATTCATCATAACTGATAGATCTAGTGCCACTGTTAAATTACCTATACCTTTTTTTTTTTTTTTTGTAAAACTCTGTGCTGGGTTGACAGTAATTGCAGATATCTAGACAAATTATTATTGTCTGTTTATCTTAGATACTCTACTGCTTTTTCCTAAATAAAGCCCAGGGATTTTTTTTCTAGAAAGCCATACATCTTCATGTATGCCCTAGTTCTTCTTGTAATGTACCAGAATTTACCCATTGGGCTAGCCAGCCAAATACCAGACATGAATTTCTCCTAGCTGGGAGTTGGATGCATGCTGGTTTGGATGCATATGCTTATAAATTTTGGATATCTATGGGTGCAGTCTCCCAGCATCTTTTGTAACATTCTGGTACACTTTGTACATTACCCAGGCATAGTAAGGATAGTTGCAGTACTAGTTGTAGTGTGCAAAAATTTCAAGTCTTAGATGTGTGACACATGCACATCTCTCCCTGGAATACATGGAGTGGCTACACTTGAAGAACACTTGACCTCTCCTAGTAGGCACTGTTTTCAGGTGTCTAGGAATGATATTCTGATAAAATGCAGGAAATTAGAATTTTTATTTAGTTTATGGCTGCAAAAAAAGCTTAGAAAGGGATTCCAGTTCAGCAGTTGTGAAAAATAATGATGACAGTCACATAGATTATCAATCTTTATGGGCTGTTGTTTACTTAAAAAAAATCATGTAGCTAAAAATCATGTAATAGCAAACTTAGCATTCAGGCAAGATCAATTGTCATAGTAATGTCTTTGATTTTTTTTCCTTGGCAGTACCTAACTACTTTTAGCATTAAGTATATCAAAATCTTTCCCTATAATCCAGTAAATTCAATATGGAACATACATTTCATAGTGACATGTGAAAACCTGTAAACATTACATCACAAAAATCCTTGTAAATCTTTGGCCAGTTTTGAAGCAATATAATGACTGAATAACAGATGGCTCTTGCAGTTAAGCTAGTTTAGTGATGTGTATGATCTTGTGTATGATCTGTTTTACTTTTGTAGTATGGTAACATAGGTGTGGGAATTAATGAGTTATCTGGTACATTTAAAATTTCAAATTCTAGGCAAGAAGTGTGTACAGAATTGACTAAATTGGATTTTTGTACTGAATTTTCATTTAGAGGTGAATTAAAATTGTTTTTAAATATAGTAGTCAGATTTATAATTAGGCTAATTCAAGTAATGTCTACTTATTGCAAATTTTTTCTGTTTATCTTGGGAAGTGATAGATTCAAAAGATTCCTGAGGATATTTATTTAACTGATTTCTTATTCATCAGATTTGAAGAGAAAAAGGCTTTAAAAAGTAGCCTTTGTCAGTATAAATATAGACAGTTAACTGTCTAGAAATTTATCCTTTAGTAAAACCTCAAACCTAGACATTACTGGTGATATATGCATGGATTATGGTTGAAGAGGAGCTGGGTTTACACTGAATCTTTCTTGGGGATGAGCAGTGGGCTGCTGGATTTGTTCAGTCATCAGTTCTTTTCAGTGTTGACAGAACCTTTTCTGGAAGTTTAAAGATCAGACATGAAGGATGTACGTGGCTTATTTGCAGGATTTAAAGATGGGTCCATGTACCTAGTGTCCTTGAAAAATAATCTTGTCTTCAGTGGTCTCCTTTTCTCCATTTTCCTTTTTATCTTTTCCCCCAGATTTCATCAGTTCTGAAGGCTGTTTAATTGACAGCTTTTGCCAGCTTTCAGTACAAAAGAATAGCATCATATGAAAGATCCAAACCAGGTTAAGTTGAGAAAGATTCTCTGTCACATCCAAAAATTAAAAAAAAAAAAACAGTTTTGTTAAATATTATGTATTTATAAAAGAGTAGTGTAGATATTATACGTGGTGCATTTACTGCACCCTTCATCTAAACAAGTACATTCACATAGATATCTAATATAGACTTGGCTTGAAAGGTGAGGAATTACCCAATAATTGGATGCCAGAAATTACAGCTGCTGATTAGTTTCAGTAACTTTCTCAATGATCTGTTACTGGTTAAAAATCAATATTAAATAATAATACAGCTATTTATAAAAATAGTTACTACCACTCTCTTACAGAAGCATCTGTTGCAATAAATTTCCAGTGGAACTTATTTGTCCACTTCAGCAGTTTTATATATATTTATATACATATATACACACATATATGAATATATATAAACTGTTAAGAAAAGCTTTTTTTAAGAAATCATTGTCAAATTTTCAAGAGCATGGCACTTCTTTTTTTTTTATTTTCTTTATTTTTTTTGTGTGTTTCTTTTATTCCTAAGTAAAAGCTGTTAATATCAGTATAGAAAAAATTTGTTTGAGAATAGTTATCTCTGTTTTAAATTTCTCCCAAACCATACTTAATTTATTGGAGAACTGCATATTCTCACAATACTGGTATTCTTCTTGATGGATTCTTGTCTTTTGGTTTTTTAACTAGAAGATTTCATGGTGGATTTGTTATTTTATATCACTTTGCAGGATGATTTTTTTATTAGTGTTTGCTTTGGGCAAATTACAATAGATAATATTTTGCTTAGGAAAGGTAAATATTAACATAGATTAATATTAATATTAATAATATTAATTATTAAAGTGCCCTATGATTTAATGTGGAATTTGCATCTACTTTGCAACTTTAAAGAAAATAGCAACTCTTTTCCTAAAATCCATAGTTGCTCGTAATTTGGAAACCTTGGATATAAATTCTGTCACTCCTCTGAGCTTATGAATAGAAATTTGGCTTAGAAAGAAAATTTAAAAATTCAATTAAAGTGTAGTACATATTGTTGCATCAGGCTCTAGATGTAATTAAATACTACATGACTCACAAGCCATTATTTCAAGCTGCCCAGTTCATAATTTTAGATAAATAATGCCTATAGTATATCAATGAAATGGATCATTTTAAATGGCACAAAGTATGAAATGCATTGAACAACTGCTGCTTTATCTGTTTTGTAATTTTCTCTCTTTTTTTTTTCTTTTTTTTTCTTTTTTTTTGCCATAGTACTTCACGGGAGTCCCTGCTTCTTTTAAAATTAACATGTTTCCACAAAGCTTACCTTTATTTTCATATTTACAATGATAGGAGTTTTGGGAGTTTTGAAGCTTGATCTTCCTGATTGTATTGAAGTGCATAAAACTACAGGCTTAATTCAAGGGCTATTTCATATCATAGTCATATTTACCATAGGCATAAATATGCATAAATTTTACCATCTTTCTGGCTATTGTATGTGTTTGGTTACAGTATAAGAAAAATAGAACAGATAGCAGATTTTCTTCAATTTGAAAGAACAACCCAAAAAGTCTGATGGCTGATTAGCTTTTTTGTTTGTTTCTTTAGGATTTTCATTACAAAATATCTTTAAGAGCCATGAGTCAGAATTTATGTTTGGCCAAACACAATATTTCACATGAACATATATTTTTGATTTTCCCTAAGGGCTGACTGGTTATTCTTCCCATAAACCAATCTGCACTTAATCATTATCAAACCTTCACTGCTTTTACATCTATGATTTTACAGCTTAGGAAGCCACAAAATGCAACACAAAACAGACAACAAGCATTTTTCTTTCCCTAAAGCAGTTCTCCTTTAATTAGTTCATGAGACAGGAGATTATTAGAAAAATGTAGCCATTTTATGTATTTGTTTCATGATGAAGAGCTCTGAGAAAGTAATTCTGAATTTTAAAGAAAAATATCACAGAAGGAGATGCCACACTAGAATGAATTTGTTGAAAATGTAGTTATTACATGCATTTTTTTGACTCATAACTTTGAGATGTGCAGTCTTATCAGACTATCTATCTGGGTGAATGCTTCTCATTTCTTTTTATGTTTTCATTTGCTTATCATTGGCATAACCCATGTCATCTAATGCTTCATGACTATATCTGTTTCACTCACCACTCATCCTGTCTGTGCAGTGAGCTTCTTATGCTGCCCAGAGCAAAGCGAGGAAGAAGTGCAGAGTGCCTACATACCATCAGGTAAATACAGGAATGTGGGAATCATGAACATATCTGGTTAGTTGTCCATACTTTGTGTGCCCAACATTTTTTCCATGGTGGTATTTAGTCCCAGTAAATAAAGAACTTCCAAGTACATTGTGATCCAGATGTCAGTTGTTCTTTTTTGTTGTCATTCAGATTCAGGTATGTGTATTTGTTTTTGAACTCAGTAGTAAGGTCTAAAGGAGTTGAAGAAACTTTGGTTTTGCAGTTGTATTTTGTGGTAGATTTTCTGTCTAGTCACAAAAGTCCTGATCTCCCAATGCATGACAGCATTTTAATAATTTCAAACTTCAGTTTTTAAATTTGTTTTGTTTTCTTTTATTTGTATTTTTATGTTTATATAGCAGCCATGCACAATTAAACAGTCTTTGCTTGTTGTGACACCTAATCTCATGCTGATTTAGTCACTTGCAGATGAAGAAATACTGATTTATAAGGGCTTACTGGAAGTTATCAGATTTGAGATGTTTTACTTGTTTTTGCATCTAAAAATTATTCTGTAAATTGGATCCACATGTAAACTTAATAGTTTGGACCCATCTTCAATCTTCATTAATCTCTTGTTCCAAAGCTTGGAGATCCCTGTCTTACCATTTTCCAGTGTTGTGAAACTAAACGGGACTGAAATATCTTTATCTAAAAAGTCAAAGTCTGCTCCCCCACCTTTTTTTTCACCATGTCTGTTAACCTTGTTAAAAATCATAACATTGTGTAGAACATCTTTCATTTAAAATTAGTAAAAAATGTAGGTTGAAGTTAAGGTAGTTAATAATTTAACTAATTCAACCAGGTAGTTATCCTTTGTCCCTTCGGAATCTGGGTGTTGATGTGGGTTTTGTGTCAGCACTAAATGTTTAAAGTCATCAAATGTTAAACCATGTTGTCTAGTGCCACTATTCATTTATTAATGAGGGATTTTCTTTTGCAAAGTACTGCTAATTTTTAAATACCTTGGTTTGCTTTAATTTTCATCCAATTTGAAGCAGTATTGAAGATTCTGTGATAGGGTTCTGTTATAAAGAAGAGTAATATAAAACTAAAATAACAAATATGTACGCTTTCAAAAACATCTGCATCAGTGAAGCTGTTAAGTTTTTTATCATCAGTAGAAATATTTTCATTCTATACTTCAGCTGAAAAGGCTTTTTCCTCAAGATTTTAGGTTTTAAGGTTTAATAATTTATTTAACTTCTTGTTATTGTATGTCTGTTTATTGTCAGATAGTGGCAATTTTTCCTGCCTCTTTCCCATGTCCTTTTTGCTTCATCTTCTGTAGCTTCATCCTCTATCCTGCCCCCAGCCCTGTGCTTTCTCCTTTCCTTCTTAAAGATTATAATTGTCATTATAATATTTCATTGACATTGCTTAAAGTCTCAATTAATGAAGTAAATACAGCATTATAAACTTCTGGTGCACTTTGCCCAGCCATTACTACTAATTCCAGTAGTTTTACCAAATCAGTACCAAATTTTACCAAAATCTACCAAACCAGTCTGGTCACAGCAAAAAGTTGTGCAAGGACAGCAACAGAGTTAGGTAATAGCTACACTGAATTCAGAGTCTACAGCACTTCCTTGCCTTTTTCTTTATTCCATTTATTGTTACTTTATTTTTGTGATCAAAAAACCCTCAAAATTCACCCTTTAAAATTACTAGTAGTGGTATACTCTAAAACAGGATGGTATTTATAATAATGTATTGAAGGTGAATATAAAATCGACAGATGACAATAGATTGATTCTTTTAAATTTAACTCTGAGGTTTATATACCCCAATTCCAAATAATACTCCAAAACTGGCAATATACAATTGTTTCAAAAATAGTTTCAGCAAATTTTTTTTCTATGCCATCTTCTCTCCTTTCTTATTTCTAGGGACCTGACATTTATTCATGTTAGAAATTTTACAAGACTTTATCCTTGTTTTCTAGAAAGCTTACTGAACAATGGTTTAATTAGTCCTTGAGACAGGATCAGCTTAAAATGGGAAAGAAATGTTAATGGTTTCTTGTTAAATGAAAGAAATTAGGTAGTCCAAGCTACAAATTTAAAATATATGGTGAGTTTAATGCACCAGTTTGGAATATTAGTCCTCGCTGCCCGTCCTGTCCCTCTGTATGCAGTTAGTGACCAATAGCAGAAGTGGTGGAAAGGTGTGTGCCAGTGCTGTAGATCATGGGTTGTCACATTCCATGTCTTAGATCCCCTACTTTGAATGGTAACATCTGCTCATATGCCAGGACTGGCCTGATGACAACCATTCCTTTATTCCTCCTTTGCAATGTTACAGTGACCTCTGGTAGAGAAGTCACCAGTGGTGACCACTAAAGCTGTGTACAGGCAGGGTCAAAGCTCCGCTGTTAAATCCCTCAGGGTTTTACAAACTGATATTTCTGGGCAGAGGGTTGATTCATCTGTCTGTGACACAGTCAGGTTTCTAATGTTGATCCTGATGTATTTTGGTCCAAGGCTTAACAGGAATAAAAATTTATCAGGATCAAAATCCTGTCTGTCAGGACAGACTGTTCTTGATGCTGCAAAATCCTTAAGCCTGCTGGTTCTTCTAGTAGTTCCATAGTTGTGCCCTAGTAGGGTATGTGGAGAATTGTTAGAATGTTGTTATTAACCTTAAACCATTAAATGGGCATAATTCACATTCAGTAGGCACTGTCTGCCTTTAAATTTCTCCCTTGTTCATGGGGTTGAACTGGCAGATAAAATAAACATTTCCTTCTCTAAAATCTATGATATCAGACAGTTGTCACATAACACCTTAGTGCTGCTGTGCTGGCTGATGTAGTACCTCTCCTAAGTTTTTAAATTAGCTTATAATTAATTACATTTAATTATTGGTAAATTTTGAAGCTGATACACCACTTTCAAAAGTCTTCCTTCCACATTCAAAAAAGCCAGATGCTAATACATTTGTAATTAATTTTTTGAAACTATATATACCTGTTTTAGCAAGACTTTAATGCTTAGCTACTGAAGAAGTTAAAATCTCTTCAGGTCTAAGTAAGGAATCACTAAGAGAAATAAAAAGTAAATTTAATATCAACTTAAAACAGTCTGTATATTTTAATTAAAATTATCTATAAATGGAATATATATTACTTCCTTTTCAAGAAAACATCTGTACTTGTATTGGCATAAGTTCATGCGCTTTATTAAGAAAAGGGTTAATACAAATTTTTTTCCCCAGATAACTGTCAGAGTACTTGAGAAAAAGATACATGAAATATCTGCTCCTACAGCTATACAGTATAATAGAATATTATGCATTTATTTTATGTTCTGGTCAGTCTTGGCTTGCCTTTACCTGTCTTTTTATTTTTGGCATGTTCTTGTGTTGTTCTGTGTTCTTTTCTGACCCACCACATTCAAGAAGTTCTGTTAGGCACTATAAAACATTACCACCCAAGATGCCTTTACTAGAAAATGTTACTCATTGGAACCTATACAGGTAAGAAATGTTTAGAGTCCCCTTTAAGTAGTTAGCTTCTTTTAAAAAAGAAAAAAATAGACTTCCTTTGTTAAAGAAAAAAATAACAAAATGTTTCATACATTTTTGTGACTGAGAGATAAGGGATAAAATCCTAAAATAACTTCATATAATTGTTTAAATTAACACCTATGTTACAAAAAAAAAAAATAAACCAAACTACTTTGTATTAGTTGGAGTTGTCTTCCCTGTTAAAACTGTATGTTGTGTGGTTTTCGTTATTACATTCTTTTGTTTATGTATGAGATTTCTGTTACATGTTAAATTTATTTTCATTTTGTTTAAATAATTTTAATTTACAAAGCTCAACTCTTCCTGCATGTGCTAAGACCAAATCCGTGATTAGACAGGATATTTCACTCCTTCATGATTGCCTTAATTCACGAATATCGAAATTTGGAGATGATCTACTGGTTAGGTAAGACACTAAGGATTAATCCCCCCCCACTTGTTTGGTATCTAAAATGGATTTTGCAGAATAAATGAGCTTCACTGTAAAGGGATTTCACATGACATATAGTGGATCACATTCTTTTATGTTGGCTTAAGACTTGCTGCTGTTAATAAGGATATAACTATTGTTTGGTATTACTCATTCCATTTTTCTTACAAGTGGATGCTGTTCTGTCTCATTCAGTTTTAAACATTTCAATGGTATTTGCAAAAAATTTCTAGCAGCGTTTTGTTTGCTTTTATTTTCTAAACAAATCTTGGCACTATCATCCAGTCAACTCTTTTACGTTTTCCTTAATTAAATCATTGTGATTCTACATTTTCTGTAAAGAGAGCATTATTTTATGAGTTAATATCTAACATTGTATTCCTTTCTTTGTTTTCTTTTTCTTTCTCTTCTACCATTGGATGCAATGCACTGGCACTAGTGAACTGCAGCCCTCCCTTGACAGGGCTAGGAGTGCTAGTACCAACTGCTTGAGACCAGATACTAGTTTGCATTCACCAGAACGAGAAAGGTATAAAATAAAAACTTATGAATTTTTTTGTCATCTGTGCTGGTGATCTTTATAAGTTTTGTTTTTCTTCATATGAGTATTCTACATTCTTGTACATTCTTGTCTGCTTTGGTATTTGTAGACATTTTTGCTTCTATATTCATGTATGTCATGTAAATTATGTGTTGGAGTTTATAACCGCTTCTGGCTACTTCCTTTGTTTTAAGTTCTAGCTGATGTTCATTGTTTACAAAAGTCCTCAGTATGCTGATAATAGCATTGCAGTGTTAAGTATTTTGAAACTACCACTTGGTTGTGAATCTTCATCATCATTTGCTGAAAAGCATCACATCTGTTTCTTGCTTGTTCTGTGGACTGCTAATAAAGCAGTGGCATAAAGTAGAAAGTACAACAAAACTTTCACATTTCAAACCAGAACTGTATCAATACTGATATATTTTTTTACAAAACAGCCAAACATCATTGCTTTCTTTAATCTGCTGCATCTGCTTTTGCAAAGTGGATAACTGGTTTTTTTGCTCCGATATTTTAAGGTTCACATAAGTCCTAAGACATGTTTACAGTTTAAATGAAATATTATTGTGTCACATACATTGTGCAGGCATGTTATGGATGCTTTCTGTACTTTTACAGTTAGAATAGCTTGATTAAAAATTTTAGGTGAATCAAATGCTACTGGTACAAAAAGGGAGATTCTAAAAGAGAACTACCCGTGTTTTTGGCTAAGAATAATACCACTTCAGAGTGAGATTTTAGGCTTACTGAGGGGAGTAATAGGCTCCCTTTGAGTGAGAATAGGACAGAATCTGTGCAATACATATTTAATTAGTATGGAAGTTCATAGTGCTTTTTCAGTTGATACACAGTGTGGTGGTTGTAACAGTTGTGTTATTTTCTTTATTGTGGACAAGATGTGTGAAGAAAGGCACTAAGAATGCACTTTTCTCTTTGAGATAGGGTTTCACCTGGGTTTTTTGTTTATAATTTCCCTTTCCTTTTTCCCCACTTCCTGCTGCTCCTTGGTTGGAACTGTGCTCTTTTTAAACTATGCTCTTGTTGCAGAGAAGTGACTAATATTCTTCTCAGGTATCCCTGATGGATCTACAGTAGTTTATTCCCTTTTAAGTCTGAGTTCAAGACATTAAAGATAATATGAACATGGTTACTAAAAAATAAAAAAAATCAGCTGACTTAGAGCCGTTCAGAATGAAATACAGATATTTTTCTAGATATTTTTAAAAATATTGTAACATCATATTACTGAATGTGTACATATATACAGCTGCCTTCATCTACAAGCAGTTACTTAATGTAATTGCATATAAACCTGAATAGTGTGTTGTGTACTTATTTCAAGATGCCACCTATCAAGTAGAATATTCAATGAAACACTAACTGGTAATTATAAACAATCTAATAAAAATGTTAAGCTCAAAACTGCATCTGTCCTGATGTGAAGCAGTTCTATAATGTCTTTAGAATTCATGTCCAGCAACCTCTGTCCACTGGGCACTGTGCAGAACCTGCATCATTTTGCATGAGCTCCTCATAAAGGAAAATGTTTAGTCTGTATTAATGGCCTCTGTTGCTACTGAACATGAGGTTTTGCCAAATCATCAGTGGGTTTGATCCAAAAAAAATGCCCATCACTGTAAAAGTTTTTCTTAGCTTTTAGAAGTCCTAAATAGGAGGTTTTGACTTGGAATCCTTCATAGAGCAGAAAAGCTCTTGTTAATTCATATTCAATTTTTTACTTGATAGTTTTATTGAAAATAATAAGATATGCATGGCTTTGGCAGAGGATTTTTCTTCCTTTCTTGTGACATTGAAGATTTTCCCATGCAGCCCAAATTTTGGAGGTGGATGTAATATTTAATATATAAACCTCACCAAATTAATCTTTTTGTTTTGGGGAACATAAATTTTAGATGATCGAATGTGGAATCTGCAGTTAGTCATCAGTGGCACGTGATGATAGAGGAGTCTTTGGTCTGAAGAACACAGAATTAAGTTCAGGGTCTGTAGAAAGCATTTTGCTTCTGTGCTGGACAAAATGAGAACAAAATATTTAAAATACAGTAAGACAAGTTCACCTTAAGTAGTAGGAAATCTCTTTTGAAAGTAATTATAATGAAACACTAACCACAACAAAAATTAGAATGTAATAGACAATATGGAAAAGGTTGTGTTCATTACTGGAGACTTAGAGGAGATGAGACACTTGTCAGGTCTAGAATTGGTCCATCAAAGGGAAACACTCTTAAGGTTTTGTGAAGTCCAATCTGCAGCACTTTTACAGTATATTTGAGAGACTTGTGTTGTAAATGTTAGTTGTTTTCATGTTGTTTCTTCTTCCTTCTCCCCTCCCTGAATGACAGCATTGTAAATTTTATTTAAAAGTCTAGACTTTTATGCCTCTGAATACAGACTTCTAAATACAGCTCTGTATATTTTCTTTAACAAAATTATGAATATACTTACCTATGAAAAATTACTTCTTCTTATTCCCCCTAACCTTTTGACTCAGAGGGTATGAATTAGATTATGTTTGAGAACAAGAGCTAAAATAAACCGCTTTTTAACAAAATGATAGTGTTATAACAGATGGATAGTACAGCCCTATTTCTCTCTGTCATTGATTTGCTGGAAACAGTTTTGATGCTTGAACTTTATACATCATTCATTTCATTTGGAATGATTAGAGTAGTTAATGCTTTTATGACACTTTTTTGCCAGTAAAAGTCATTCTATTGACTCACTTATGCCAACAGAAAACTACTTTCAGCTGTATATAAGAATTTGTGATATGAAAGTCTAGTTAGTTTCAGTATAGCAGAACCAAAACAACAATGAGGACATAATTCCTTTTCTCCTCCTGTAAGTTCCATCATTTGACCAAGTAATGTCCATCTATCTTGACTGGCAAAGTGACCTCAAAGTGACCTTGCCTTGACAAAGGCCTGCTAAAGTTTTTTGTCAAATGGACTGATTTTGTACAGAGTTCAATCCTTCATATACTTCTCTTCTGCACAGTATACTCTAGGATATTCAAAAATATCAATCCCCTACTAATAACCTCTATGCAGTTGCACCAGGCCTGCCTTTATTTTTTTTTTTTCTCTTCACACAATCTACCCTCTACTTATTCCAAGCTGTTTTGTTAATTAGTTTTGTTTTTTTCCAAAATGATTTTGTGGTTGAAGTTCCTTTGATGATCTGCAAGTCATCTTTAAGTTTATAATATGTCCTCTATGGCCATCAAAAGTGTTTTTCCTGCTACTACTTCATTATGCTTTGGGTTTTTTCATTATTATTCTTTTCACTGTGTCTCAAAATTTCTGCTTTTTTCCTTGTAAATTGGGTGCTATTTCTTTAGAATTGAGAAATATTTTGGCCTGAAACATCACTTAGTGGAGATCTAAGCAAATAAAACAGAGAAGCACAGCCCAGGGATTAGGTCGTGTACAAGGGTCAGCAAACCTGCAAAATACAGACCCATGGCTGTATTAGATTTGTTCTGAGGTGCTTCACTGCAGTGGGAATCAAAACAGGATGTTTGCCATCAGCTGGTCACTACTATCTAAAGAAGAGACAAAGCTCAACAGTTACCTGTTACCTAATCATAAAGAGATGCCAGGGAGGTTGATCCATTTAAAGCTTGTCCTGACTTCGTGTTGATTTTTATATTGCATGCCCTTAACAGTTGTGTCGAATATCCCCATTTCCATTTAAATCATGTACAGTGCAGTAATTGTTTGCATTAGGTCTGAGACATGCTGTCTTTCTGGTTCTTTCCAACCATGTAAAGAAACAGGTAGTTATATGTTGGTGTTGTACTGTGGCTCACAGTCATTCAGCATTCAATGAAAGGGAGCATGTTCTGAAAATTCCTATGTTCTGAATTACCTGGTTAATTCTATCAAACGCTCTTTAATATCTGTAGTGGATATCAGCATATTAAGGGCTTTGACTGAGTGCACTGATGCATTAACATTTTCTTTAACTCTTGCTTTGGAGACAAAAAGAAACTACTAACAACCTATTTGCTCTTAAAACATCTGAATGACCTACCTAACTGTTCAAATAATGCTCATGTCCCTGAAACCTTTGTTATTTGCATGTTCCATAAATCAAACCCTTTTCCTTATTACATGGACTGGAAGAATGCCTCAGAAAGGGAAATATTAGATACTTGTGCTGAGTTTATGTGAACATTTTGCTATTGGTCAGTAAATCTGTTTTGGTATTGTAAATTGTTATGCATACACTTGTTGCATTACAAACACATAACATCCCCAAAAAATAAACGACATCAGTCTATAATACAGTATATATAATTCTAAGTTGAACAGGCTTTTTCAAGAAGAAAAATCCCATAATACACCAGTTTTCATTCTCAATTCAGGTCCTCTTTGTTGACTTTAGTTGAGTGTCATAGTATACTGGCATGTATTGCAGGGATAAAGAGAAATGAACAGAAGAGGAAGCTGGCTATGCACACTTCCAGTATATGTTTTGAAATAATAAAAAGTAACCCCAGTACTTGTACACAAATGTGTGTAGCTTAGTTTTAGTTAAATAATTTACCTCCATTCTTTCACTGCATTCCAGAAAAGGGTGACTTTGTGCCCTAGAACTTTTATTATAATTAATAGTCTTACATTTTTACTGAGATTACATTTTTCTATTAGCTATGTGAATAGCTAGGAGTAATGGAATTAGAAAAATATCAAGATAATGACCATCAAATGGTCTTTAAAAGTATTTTCTAACTTAGAATTGCAGTTTACTACACAAGTGACAGGCTTTTAGGTAGTCTAGCATTTGAGACTATTTGAAGATTTAATGGTACACCATAGAAGATTTATATTGGTCTAAATTCTGTATCTTTGGGCATACCTTCTCTTCATTTGAGATGTGAAGTTTCTGCATTAAGCAGCCTTAAGTAAAGTATACTTGGGTATTAAATTACACAGTTCCATTACTTTTTGGGGTATTTTTCCAGTCCCAAATCCCATATATTTAATTTTAGCACAAACTAAATATCGTATTTTTTTCCTGTTTTATTGAACGGGCAAACAGGGGTAGATGGTCCCCCTCCCTAGAGAGGAGACGACCTACTAGTCCCAGGATTCATATCCAGCATGCATCTCCGGAGGATGACAGGTACTAGTCAACTCCTCCCAGTTGAAAAATGGCTTACTGCATCTTGCACTCTCAGAGGAGTACACTGAAATTTAGAAGTGTGCATATATGTGGAGACTTACAACCTCCAGAAGCCCAAAATAAAACAGCAGTTTAGATATCATCTCTGCATTTTGTTGAACTGTTACAAAGCACAGAAGAATGAACATCTTTTCAAGTTTTGTTTGTCTGAATAGTCACAGGACGCAAAATATGATGTCTGATACAACAGATCATCTGTGTTAATGTTCTTTAGTTTGTTTTTACCTGCTTCTGTAAATGGTGCTGGTGCTTTCACTGTGGTGCTTTATAATGTGGTAAATACTTGTTGTAGGTCATATTCTTGTTTACATGTTTGTTTTCATTGGTTTTGGTTTTCCTTTTTTCAACAAACTGTTCCTAATGGGAAAAAACCCCACAGGCTGATATGTTGGAGGTCTTGGTAACACTTTCTAGTTGATATATGTAAAAATTGGCACTGTAAATTCTGTCCAAATCAGGATGGCCTCCATGGAGCAGGTTTTCCTAATAAGGTAGGTTTTGATTAAAAATGTCAGGGCTCTAAAATATTTTTATGCTGAATATCACCTATGATTAATAGAAGCACCTTTGTTTTTTACTTCTGACAAACTTTCTAATCACATGATTTTTGGTATATTGTTTTGGCAGCAGCACTTTTTTTTTTGTTGTTACTTTATTTCCGGATAGATCTGGCTTTTTTTTAAGCAGACGTAATTTATATTTAAATGCAAATTCAAAATTTTTCTTTCAGTATTTTATATTACAGTAAATGACAGGGTACAAAGTAATGTAAACACAGGTTAATGTAAATAATCTGTACATGAACTTATGAAGTTGTACTTAGAGCAAGACTGAAATAGCAGTGGTGCAAGTCCTGGCCTTCTGCTAAAGTCTACTCACAGTACTGATATCGGTACTGTGATTTATCTTGTTTGCTTGATACTGGAAATATTCCACTCATACCAGGTGGGAAGAGTGTAACTGTGTGTGGGTAGCATTCATTTATTTAATTTATAAAAAAAATCAAAAAAATTAATTTAATTAATATTAAACAGAATTATAAATGACAAAATTAAATTAGTGAAACATCATTTCAAAGCTGTCCTCCTGTACAGATACTGCATTTCAAAAAATTTTGCCAATACATCCCTGTGATGGGACTATTAAGCTATTAAGTGTTTAGAAATGTAGTCCTTTAGGCATTTTTAGGTAATTTTGGTTCTCATTTTTTGAGTCAATGGACAGATTTCCTATGACTTCAGAGTATCAGACTTAAAAAAATCAGTGAAATGAGGTTTTCATCTAAATACTGCCGCTCTCAATGCCAAATACAAAACTTTTTTGCGTCTGAAGCTGAAATTTTGTGGAGAAAGGCTGAAATTATCTCATATCCACCAGGAAGTATTTTATAATGAAGCATCTGTAGGATATGGAATCTGTTTGGGGAAAGTTTTTGAGATGGATAAACAGCAGCCTAATTTTCTATATGAAATCGGTGCCTTCTTGTGTTTGTAAGTCTTTCATTCAATCTGGTCACCAAAACCCTGTGGTGAGAAGTCAGGCACTGATGAACACAGAAGGAATTTAAGCTAACCTCAATGCAGATGAGAGTGAGTGCTTTCAGCCTACGAGTTCCAGGATTTTCTCGTTAAGAACATTAAGAGACATTCAGAGAAGTTATGAGAACACTGAGTTTTTTGCATTGCCTATCTGTAGAGAGAACATCAGTGAGGGAATCAAAAGTGCATTAACATTGTTCTCTACTCTGTAAGTTTGCATTTGTTCTGATTAATTCACATGTTTATTACAGTGGGCCAATACTACTCAGTTCAATAATTAAAGTTTTTTTAAGATATGCTTGTATCAATTTGACAACCGAAGTTGTGGCTGTTGGGAAATGACTGATGCATCAGCAGGGATAACAAACTGTTTATCACAGCTTTTGAATCATAGTTCACAGATTAATTGACTTTGACAGACTTCATCTTACTCTTCATTTGAGTACATTACAGATTTATATTACAAATGGGTCCAATTTGTACATAGAGTGCAATCAAGATCTACTTCTGAATACATTTCTTAAATCTATGACTTATGCATTATTTCTAATTTTGGTAAATTAACCTTTTGCAACTTTATATTTATTTCTAACGGTTTGTAACGTAAATTTTGGTAAAACTTTTGGCAAGATTGCTCTTCTGGAATGTGTTCACTTGCCATATCAGGAAGAAGTGACTCCTTGATATGTTGATGAAATGAAGACATGAGTTACGTATTATTTCAGTGTTAAAAATTTGCAAATGTTTGGTTAGTATCATGTATTTCTATAAGATATTTTAAAGGATAGTTTTTCTATTGAATTTTGTAGCATTATTCCTTGAAAGGTTCTTGTTTTTTTCTATTGTAAATTAGAAAGTCTAAATGTCTAATGTCTGCAGTGTAGACAGATAAATATGTGGAGAACTGTGAAATTGTAAGTGATGATAAAAACAAGGTGAATGAAAGCTGAGCATTTAATGGTAGGTGAAATTTTTTTTCCAGACTGTTCTTTTGGAAAATCTGCATATAATATCAGCATATAACCAAGACTGGATAAAACAAGCCTTTAAAAAAAGGAATTCTCACGTATTTTCATTTAAGAGAAGTAACTTTTGTCAGTCATGCTTGCATGTGTAAGAATGCTTTTCCCAGAGTCACCTGAGGCCAGCTGCAGAACAAGTGCCCTCCTGGTACTTGCAGGAACCATGCAGATCCTGCCTTTAAGAAAACTTAATTTAAAGTCAGGAAGTATTGAACATGACATTCTTTGTGTCATGTTCTTCATTCTGGCCTCAAGGCTACATAAAATAACACTCACTGCAGACCAATCAGGGCTCTTGTACAAGACATTAATAAATCATTTAAAAATACCAGACACTGAATTGTATAAAAATGTTATGTTTTCATTTCAGAAGTGGTGATTTTTCATTTCAGTAGGAATATTGTCAAATATCTGTGTGAAGATTCGTTAACACAAGTCTGTTAAATATACTGAGGCACATAGAACTTTGGAACACAAACTGTAAATAGCTTGTCTGTCTATAAAACAATATGCAGTGCTCATCTATATATGATATGTATTGTTCAATGATTTGGTGTGACACTTGGAAGATTTATGATCTTAGAGAGAAATTTTAGCCTTTCCTGACCCTAATGTAGGTATAGATGCAGATATATTACAAAACTTTGATTATTAGTGGACCACAAATTTTTCTGAGTTTTCTCATTAAAATCCAAATTTGGTGTTTGAAAAAATATACTCCATTCATAGATCTTAAAATATATTTAATTAAGAACTCATAATAAATCAATAGGATAATAATATTTTTGCCAAAATGAAAGCTGTGAACAAATTCTGTGGCTTCAGCAGAAATTAAAATACCACAGAAATTCAGAAATTCCTATATACTTTTTATTTAAAAAAAAAAAGTGAGTCAATTATTCTACTTTGCTCTTGAATTATTGCTAATTGTTACTGTAGCAGACTGTGTAGCAATAGAATATGAAGGTTTCATCAAAATACATGAAATTAGGAAATTTACTTGCATTTTCAGGAGAACTTCACAATATAAGGGCAAAATATTCATCTTAAGCAAAGAGGTTTTTTTTATATGTGTATATATTCTCAAGGATAATAGCATCTGTTAAATACCAGTTCTGCCATTCAGCATGTAGAGTATAATGGTTTTTAAGAATACTGTTGTGGTTTTCATTTTATACTTCATGGCATCTTAGACTGTTGATCTTACATCTAAAATTGTATAGTGTTTGGAATAGGAAAATGAGAAATACAGCTTTTTTCAGTAGATAGTGACTTAATGCTTTTTTGTTTATATATTTGACTGCATGTCTCCACCTTCACTGCATGTGACCATCTCTCTGTTTCTGCTCATTCCGTCCAAATTCACATCCATGTTTCCAAATATTATGAAGAACAAGGACGCTGGAGTCTTGCATTCCAAAACAGGACAGTGTAGACCACCTAAGTGCTAAACCTGGAGCAGCACAGAGGTATCCTATTTACTCAAATCATAGATCAAAGTAAATGAGGTATTTGTTATAGTATATTCTTCATATGCTCTGTGTACTTTCACACATTTTCTTTTTTTTTTTTTTTTATGTACAAGCACATATATGCATATATGCATGTATCATTCATGGATAATATTTTTTTTCTCCTTTTAAGTATGTCTAGGAAGTAAATTGGAGTGTGTTGAGCTAATTGGAAATGTATACCTCTTAGCCAGAGGGAGGAAACAAAAAGGAAACTGATTTAAAATAATTTCTAGTATGTGCTGCTCTCAAGGACAGCCCTGAGAAGAGAGAAATAAGTGTACTTAGCTCATTAGTGCTGTGTTTCTTGTCACAGCAAAGCAAGTCCTGCTCTTAGCTTTTCCCTCCAACTGAAACTACTCACTGTGTGCTCTCTTTCTCTGTTGTGTGCAATGTCACAATCTAGGCAAGCAAGGAGTCAGAGAAAAATAGTCCCCCAACAGAACCAACTAAATAGAAAATGAAGAGGGTGACATAATTTGAATGGAAATGCTGCTGCATACAGTGGATCTATCCACAACTTTAAAAACTTTGCTAACTGTAGGTTTTAAGTAAAGCTGCAGCATTTAATACGTGTGTTCTCCTCTGTATCCACTTTATGTTTGTCCTGATAAACAAAAAAAAATGGAAAAACAATGAGAATATACAAAAAAATAAATTGAAAAAAATAGATTGAGAGCAAAAGGGATTTCAGTTTTTAATCTGATATACTATTTTGTATGAGAAAATACATTTTTTAAAATCCAGAAAGCATCAGGTAATGACCTTTTCATGCAGAAAGCATTTTCTGTTTTACTGCAGTGTTTTCTTTTTTGTGGAATCTACTGCATCACAATAAAATGCTTATCAAATATTACAGTGGGTAAAAATAATAAAAATTCACTATGATTATGTTCTTTGGGCATAGCTTGGTGTCACAGCTGTTTGGGTCTCTTCCAGTTCAGGCCCTGGATTACTCTTTATAATCACAAAGCTTTAAAAGAAAAACATAATAATTTTAAATATTATTTTTTCTCTCTGTTTTTCCCACAGTAATTTATATAGCCTAATATATGACATTGACTGTACCATTTCAAGATCTTGCATGTATTAAAGTTTGTCAGCATTTCTGGTCTAGGATTGAATAATCATCGCTCCCAGGTTTAACCACTCCTGAATCTCTGTATGCACTTTTTCTTTTGAAAAAATAATACATCTTGATGATTTTCTGAGGTTTGAAGTAGTAAATCTGAATTTTTAAATGCTAACATTACTATGGATCGTATAGACAGAAAATTTTGGAACTCAAGACTTGCAAAGATTTATGTATTATATTTATAGGACTGGGTAATAATAGTGAAACATGGCTTTACCTTTGTTCTTATATGTATAGACTCCTATTACTCTTCATTGTTCTTATTTAATATCAAAGTGAGTGCTTAGATTGTCTGAGGTAACTAGTGCCTCAATATCCAAATGTCAGATGAATTCTGTAAAAGATTCGTGTAGGAAAGGAGTAAAGGAGTGAAATAATTTCTAACTTGCTTATATTGAGTAGGAAGAAAACAGAATTTCTAAAAACTTTAAAAGGTAATAGAATGAGATTTTTGAAAAAACAAGTTTTTATTAATATAGTGACAGCCTTTTTTAAATCTGTTATGATACAGTATTTGTTTTGCTTTTGAAATTTATATTTAAAAGCAATTTTTAAATTTGTTTCTCATTCTGTTAAGAGATGACTTACAGGGCTATGAGGAGTATGTTTCTAGTCAAATGCAGGCTGTGAAGTGGGAACTAGTTCAGCAGGTTCTAGTCAGGATTAATGTTTTCTTCCCTCTTTTGGGACCTCCTAAGCTGCACACTGTGAGCCTCAATCAGAACTAGTTAATGCAATGTCTCTTAAACCTCGACTTCACCAGCCTGTTTATGATAATAGTTGCCACTTTGTCATCTGTCAGCTGTTTATTTTATTACCTTTATAATACATGAATAAACAATCTTCATATTTTTGTATTCTTTTTCTTCTTTGTTTATTTATTTTCTGACATGTCATTTCACAGGCAGTCCAGAAAAGTGGAAAGATATAGCAGCCAAAAACAAACTAGGAAAGGCCCCGCAGCTGAAACGGAAAGGTAGGAGTGTTGATTGATGTGTAAGCATCTCTTATCATTAGTTTGATTCCAGATTTTGGAACACACCTCAAATATGACTTTTTAGAACATCTATGACAGTACCAAAAGCTATGTTGCCATAATTTACAGTATTATATATTTTGTATCTGTATTCTTAGCACTTTGCTGCATACATACAGTTTTTCTGGCATTCTCCATCAATGCAGATAAGCTCAATAGCAAGGACTAGAAGTGCTTTTCTGAACTTTAACATGGATTCTTTTTCAAAAAATCCTTATTTTACATTAACTTTGAAGATTAAAAACTCCAATGGATTACATAAATAGCTAGCTATAACAGGTAAATGATGCAAAATGTCTCTGATCAAATTGATCTCACTTTAAAATATGAAAGATTTGAGTTACACATTTATCATTGCATAAAATTAATGTAACGACTGGAACTTTACTGTATTAATTTAATTTTTCTCAATTTGTATTGTCATTCTATCTTTTAGCTTTGATGTTACAGTAGTGGGGGTTGCATGTTCAAATTCTTAAGAAATAGTGAAAAAAATAAAGATATATACTGAATAATAAGTACATTTAATTAAGTTTTGAACCTGTGTATTGAAATAAGAGCAGTGAGGAGGGATGAGATCCTGCCTTTGTCAGAAATTGCTTTATGTTATTTTGATTCACAGAGATGGAATGTACATCTGGTTACATTGTGAGAGCTTTAAAATTTCCATGAATAGCACAGACCTCTCTATTTTCAATGAAAATGCACATTATGTAGCAAAACTTCAGCACTTTTCTTTAGCTTTACTGCTTCCACTCCCAGATTATTTTTCCTGATCCAAAAGCAATGGCTACAGTTTCCTTGAGTCAGATGACTTTGTTCTCACAACAACCCAGGTGCTTTTTCAATTTGAGTCTAAAAGATTACCTAAATGATGACTGAAATCCTTGCTATGATTGAATCACGGACTGTTGTGCCGTGGAGATTGCTAAAACCTTTCTTCCCATTGTTTTTTCTGATTTCTGAGAAGTAACTGATGTCCAAGGGGTTTGACTCTTGGTAATTCAGCAATGAACCCAAGGAACAAGAGCATAGGGAAACATGAATTGTACTGCTTCTTTTTACGTCTCCTCGGCACATGTTGTACGCTTCTGTTTCCATAAAATGATTCACTAGTATTAGATGTGAAACAAAAATATTTCAATAAGTCTGAATGCTGTAGTTCAGTATTCCATCATTGATGTAATATTGCATTAATGCCAAAAGGTTTTGATAATAGGGCAGGCAATGAATTTTCCTTTCAAATATTTCCCGTCATTGGGAAACTTTGCCTGGAGCTAACAACTGAACAGTCTCTTTTTGGCCCTGATGTTTTAGGGGTGTGCTGCCATGTCTTTCTAGAAGGTGTGTTTTGTTCTGTGTCCATATAAAAATTATCAAAGTATGTTTCTTAAACACTGTGCAGAAAATCAAATGTTCACACAGCAAACTCTGACCTTACAGGCTAAGAGAAAGTTGGTTGATCTACCTAGTAAAAGCCAACAGTATTTTGAACTTGTACAAATGTGCTACTTTAAATTACAAATGATCTACTTGCAGCTGGATAAACAGTGCTTATCCACTATAGTGAGTGTGACATTTCTCTGACTGGCTAGGGCATTTCACTCTCTTAAGCTCTCCTCAGTGATCTGCTGCTTCTCATCTTTGTTCTGCTTTCTTAAGCCTTTTCCCTATAGTTGTTATAGGTGCCCATACTCACTTTAAATGTTACGGTTCCAAAGGTGTTTGATGCTTTACACTCTGAGACTGTATCTGTGAATAACACATCAAGTACCCAAAATGTTCTGAAACAGTGCTAAGTTAGAATTCAGAGAACGTGATTTACGATATTTGCTTAGATATGAATATTAAAAGTGTTGTGCATATTTTGCATGCACACACAGATACTTGCATGCACACACACACTCCCTTCCCCCACCCCAGTACAAAGGTTAAAGGTCTTTTTCCTTCTTTGAGTTCTGGGAAAAAACACAAGCGACCCTTTGGAAATAGATACTTGCTGTCCAGTGGCCTCGTGCAATTATTGTGTTAGCACAAAGGGAGTACTAAATTTAATAAAACATAAAAGTGGCATTTTATATTACTCTTGTACCAGTGCAGGAGAATTTATATAAATTGTGAGTAATAATAAGTGGTTCTTGGAAAACTGCTTCCCATTCAATAGTTTTTCACAATTACTTTATCAAAAAAAACCCCAAAATGACAAAAAACCCAAACCACAACCAACCAATTAATTAATTAAGCAAACAAAAAAACAAACAAAAGGAAATAATTTCCTTATAGATGAAGGTAGTTAGAGAAATTAAATGTAAGGCCTTATAAGTTGATGAGGTATCTAGACCTGAGTATGTGAACATGGCATAGACCAAATGCAAACTTTTTCAAACCCGTCTTCAGTACCTACAACTTAATTTGTGTTTAAAATTCAGATTATAAAATATCTCTTTCTTTGCCTTATTTGCTTTTATCTGAATTTCATTTGCAGAACACATCAGCAAGGAAGTCCCACGCAGTCTCCTCCTGCAGACACCTCCTTCAGCAGTCGTAGGGGAAGACAGCTACCACAAGTTCCAGTAAGAAGTGGCAGTATAGAGCAAGGTATCAAATAATGAGCTTGTGATAGCTCAAACTCTTTGATTTCTTACCTTTCTTTACTTTAAGTCTTCTTGCATAACTACGTGTCCAGTGCTATAATTGTACCAGTAAAGCAATAGAAGAGAATGAAAGCATCTTTGTGTTTGGGAAATCCAGTGGAGTTTGACCAGTGGGTTATTACCTGTGGTTTAATTGCCTTACTTTTCTAGTACCCTTTCATGTTTAAATTTTCTATTAAAGTTATGGTAGTTTCCAACATGTCTAGTATGTTATCAGCAAAAACAAAAAAATAACAAAACAGGGGCAAAGATTTTGACAGTCTTACTAATTTCTTTTGTGGTTTATATTTATTGTTGTGCGTTATTAACATAGATTAATAATAAATGTCACAGATCTGTTTTCCTACTGGAGTTCATAGTTCAGTGAATAAAGAATGAAAACAATTATCTTGGGAAATGTGAGAGCACAGGTCACCGGTCCTTTCTTGCTCAAGAATAAACTGATCAGGCAAAGAATGCTGCTCTTATCTGAAAAAGACAATATAGACCTGATGATTATGGAAGATGTTTCTCACATACTAAGATCAAATAAGGATGTACATTGCTGTTTCCTTTTCTTGCAACATACTACACACTGAGAATGGGCTGTTATGGTAAAATGAAGTGGCACAATGGATAGTATTTGTACATTCATTTTTCTTCTGTGTCTAAAAAATCTTGGTTTCTCATTGACTACAAGCAACAACTGAGATTGCCACATACTACAAGGTTTTCTTCTTTGTGGAAATGAAATAAATGCTTATAATGATGAAATATTGTAGTGCATTGCAGAACTGTTAGCAGGTCACATTCTTGAACAGATAAAGTTGCTAACCATAACCACCTTATCATGACAGATTACCAGTAAGGTTTTCTTGTATGATGGCTTGCATTAATCTGCAGTTTGCATTAGTATTAAGGCTTTGAGCTGTGATGGCATGCAAACCCCTCAATTTGCATATATAAAATGTACTCTTGTTTTATGAATGTATTCATTTTGAATGAATAGTATACTGATATTAGTGCCTTTTACTAACTTTAAACTTTCTATTCAGGTCCTCTTGTTTTGTAGTGACTCTAGTACTGTCTGAATTATAAACTAGTTACAAACTACATTCAGAGTTTCTATTTCTGCATATTAGCAAGCTGGGAGCTTTATAAGGAAATGTAATAAGTAATGAATTTCAGCTTTCTTCCATATTTCTACCTCAATTTCAGAACTTGGTATGACATATAATGATGAATCAGCTTTTAATTTAATTTTAATTTAGCTTTCCTTTGCATATTCATATATCATCTTTCTGCTGGTCCTGGTAACTGGTGTCTGAGAGTAAAATACCAATTTATGTTTTGTTGAAGGCATGGAAAATGAATGTAGAACTTACCATGAAAATAAGTAGAAATGGGATGTGTACAGAAGAGGAAAGAAAAAATGAAAGTTGAGCTGAAGGCCAAAGCTACTCTAGGTTTATGAAGTTTTTGACACTGTGAATATTTGTAAAGTAATACTGTTTTAGTGAAGTCCTGTTTACACTTGTGCTTAATATGTTCGCGCCCTATATATAAAATGTGCAGGTAGGATGTGTTGTGGTTTGCTTTGTTGCTACAAATCGTGCCGCCTCTGTCACTATGGCTGTTTTACAGCACATGGAATCAGTGCTTAAGGAGATTTCCTTCTCTACACTGTACTTTGGTTTTGTCTGAGTGACTGACTTCACTTCTGGGAGGGAGTTTTTCTTACTCACGTTTAATGCCCTGTTCAGGCTCAGAATGTATTTGCAGAGGAGTACTAAACTGAGCAGGTTTTGTATAACATGTTTAAAGAATTTTGCCAGTATTTGTTGAAATACATATGCTAGTATGTCTGATTTAATGTTACTGTTAGAAATTGAATTCACTAAGGCCATAAGACCACAGCACTTGATCTGATTTACAGTACCAGATTTTAATGTTAGTTTCACCTCTGTAATCCTTGTCAAATGAGTACTAGGGTCAAATGTAGTGACCAGAAGTGATCTGACCTTAATATATTATTGAACCCAAAGCCTACTGAGTTCTGTAAAAGATTTACATTAACTGTCCTTGGAGCTGGAGTGTGTCCTTAATGGTTTAAACTCATAGTCACCATAGACACAGAAGATGTCAAAATCTAGTGCAATATCCAAATGTCATCGGAAATACTTCAAAATGCATTTTCTCCCTATATTTTGATGGTTGTCTTGACATCATGTATTTCAAGAAAAACCTGTATGATACGCCATAAAGTAGAATTATTATAGTAAAGTACGTTCCATAAAAATCCTGTTGTTTTATGAGGGTCATATACTTATCTAAATATATACATCTGTGAATCTAAGTACATACATATATGCATTAAGTCAGTTGTACAAGGCATTGTGATTGCTGCAAAAAGATTGCATATTTGTATATCAAGAATGGGCTTCTTATTTGGTCTGTTGCACATTTGGAAGACATAGAAGATTCCAGTGAAATAATTTTATTACTCTTTAAAGTCCTTATTATGGAACTAATGAGACTTAAGGAAGGAGCAAGAGACTGGTAGCAGTTTTCATGTGGAGAAACAGAGTGCTATTCTAAGTACTAATCTTTAATCTTTAGTTATCAATTGTAAGTGATCCTATCCATTCTAGTAAGGCTTGACTGACATTGTATTTCAGACATTCCATTTTGTTGTCAAGTTTAGAACTAAAAAGGTTGTTTCCTTGTCTCTACCAAATGATACTTAGTTGCTACTCTGGTTGGCAGTCTGAGATTTGAAAAATTCAACTTATCAGAAAACAAGGTAGTTTTACAAGGTCCTGAATAATACACATATTTTCTTTAAAAAAAACCCCAAACTCACAGGTAATAGTTACAGTGAAAACCAGAGTAGTGATCCTCATTCCATTACAGAAACAGAATTGTTACTACACATCAGGAATGGAGAAACAACCTTAAATGTAGTGGAAAAGATTGATTTTAAGGACTAAGACCTTAAAACAGTGTTATAAATCACACTGGCACAAAAATGTGAAAAAAGAACAGGCTTGTTGGTGATTATGTTCTGAAGGGGAGAGCAACTTTGCGTAGCTTTAGACTAGAGACAGGGTACAATTATTTTCACTTGAGACAATGCTAACTAAATAATAGCAACTCAAGGGCATGCAGACTTTAAAAAGTGATTGAAGTTAAGATTGTAGGCTTCTGTCATTTTTCAACAGTGTGTTTTTTTTTATTATGGTCAAATTCAAGGAAGATATAGTTGTATTTTTTCCCTTTGCAACCATGTCAGCAGTATTTCTTAGAGCGGAAGACACATTGAGATGTATTGAAAGGTCTTGAGATGTTTCAATATTGACAGCTAGTCCTGTATAGGTGTGTCTTTCAAGACATCACAATTCAATAGTAATTTCCCTAACTCATGCTACTAAAGAAGTGGTTTTGATTTTTCTTGTATTAACGGATGATTTTATAAAAGGACCTAATGGTATGAAGAAGTTTTGGCTCAGTGACTAAAGCAGTGAAATTCTAAGCCATGGTAAGGACAATGGTGTATTCTCAATATGTTCTCAATTCTGTGCCGGGCTGTAAGAGATTTGCATCATTGTTTTTTTATTTGCATCATGTTTGAGTGGAACTGTGAAAATCATTAAGAGGGATGGGGATTCTGCATTGACTTTGCTTTTCAGCTGTTTCTATAACAACTTCGTGATGTAGTTGCATGGTTTTTAAATTATACTTTCCCATAAAGGATGCATCTGTGATCTTTACTCTGTCTGTCATTGCAGCAATCAAACATCATAGGAATTCTTGCTTTAATAAGATTTGAGGGTCGGTTTCAACACTTTTTCATAATGGTTGATTGTTGTATTGATCAAGGAAGTGAATATACCAGTAGATATTAGGGATTATATTATTACTTTAGCAAGTAAATAATAATAAAAAAAAATAGTACTGTTGAAATTTATGAACCAGCAAGATAAATGTGCAATGGTTGTAGTAGAGCAACAATCTTTCAGGGGTAATTTGTGCAAAGCAGGTCTTACTCCCTCTATCTGCCTTCTGTTTGGGTCTTCTTTGGGTTTTCCTTTTCATAGCTTTGACAATGTAGTTTCCTATTTCAGAAATCATACAATGAGAGTGAGGTTTGTGATAATAGAATTCTCTTTCCATGTAAAGAGCATCTGCAAACTTGACTGAAGCAGCGTGGTTTTGTGTGTTTCCAGTGGCATCTGGTTACAGCAGTAGGGCTCACGTGGTGACTCCGAGCAAAGCAAACGTGTGTCCAGCATTAGGTGTTGCTGTACCTTAGCTCATGTTGGGAAAAGCTTTGTACAGCACTTGTGTGGAAGTGCACGTGTGTGTGTGTGTGCTGCTGCTGGTATGTGAGGGAAAGCTAAGTGAAGACTCTGCCAACATTAAATGGGGATTACATGTATAAAATTCATGTGTGTGATATTTGTGCAATGGTAGTGATGTCACAGAAGAACAAAGTGTTTTGACATCCAGTATTTTTTCTTTCAACAAATAAGAATCGGAATTCTGTACAGAAAATCAGTATGTTGTCAAATAATACATTGAGTTGCAATTATCTTTTTATATTTAACCAACTTAAGATCCCAAAAGAAAAAGAAGTGCTAGTGAACAGTTCGGTGTTTGTGTACCTGATCATTGAAATGTCGTTGCAGTTGAGAGCATGGTTGTGGTAATGGTAAAAGATCAACCCCTTTCAGTCAAAAATTTTTTCAAATCTATCAGTATAAAAATTGAGTGGCAGAAGAAAAAGAATAAGTCCTTTCAGTTTCAGATTTCAGTCTATCAATGTTGTTTGTTTTGTCTCCATGTTTCTGGTTTTATTTTTAAATTATTAGATGGCACTACATATTTTGAGGCAGCTTGTGGAATCTTTACTCATGCTGGAGAATATTTTTCTTAGCACTGCTAACTTCTGCCAATGAGTTCAAGCCTCATAATTTTTCATTTTTAATGGTACAGTGGTTTTTGAGTATTAGAGATTTCAGTTAATAGAAAATAAATTTGTAACACTCATTTCAGAAGAGGCTTCAAATAGTGCTGTGTGGTTCAGAGGTAAGAGTGATATTTAAAACAATTTTAAGATTTTTATGTCATTCATAAATTTGGGTATGATAATTCTCTAGAATTTTTTAGAATTATAGAATTCTAGAATTATATTCTAGAATATTAGAATACTTAAAGACTCCACAATCTGGTTCTCCGTAACATCATTGTTCCCGTTAATTTTAAAAGAAAAGTCATAGGCTTTATTATTTGTCATGGCTTATCAATTTAATTTTCTACATTACTTTTACATACGCTGGAGTACTGCCTACTACTGTACATGCCATTGTCACATGTAACACATTTCTTTATCTAACTTCAATTTTGCTGATTTCTTTTTCTGTTTCCATCATTCCGTGCATTTAATTCATTGAAGAGCAAGAGAATTTTAACTCTCCCACAAAAGGTAAATATTTATGTAATTTTTTACAAATGTTTGGCAACTGTTGATACTGGATTTTCCTTCATTATGCTCCATGTCAGTATATAGGTTGTAGTTAACAATGTTAAGATGCAAAAAGGTGGTTTTTCAAATATCTCTATGCTATCCAATGGCCCTCTTTAGAATCTGAAAATGGTTTCTCTTGTGTTTCTCGTGCTCCTATTGAAATACAATAGACTGGATTTAACAGAGGTAATGATGATATTTTACATGGCTTAGAAGGCTCTTGATTCAGTTAAAGTTCACACAAAGACTTACAATTTTTCCTAAACTGTTCTTGAGTTCTGCACAGTACATACTTCTAGTGATGCAGCCATGGTCCTTGGCAGCTGTGAAGAAAGTTCCCTAGGTGTGGGCTTAGGAATAGTTAAAAGTGATGATGGTCAGAAACTACTTTTTGTATGTAGAGGGATTCTGAAGAATGAGTTGTGTTCTGCTTGCATGTCAGTCACACATCAGAAAGTTACTCCTGCTGTAGGGCAGGTTTTAGGGGCAGACATACAATGTTCACTTCATATGGATTCATGCCTTGCTGGTACCAGAGAATCAGTGAGCTCAAACAACAGGTATCTAAGGCTGTCCCACTAGGTGAAATCTGTATTCTGTTATGTCTCTGTCAAAGCCACATTGCAGAAAAGTCCTATTTTTTTTCCTTTTATCTGAAAGTAAAAATTATTTCAAAATCAAAATGAAGCTTGTAGAGAAAAAAAAATAAAAAAAACACCCCACCCTTTCAATGTTAAAATCAAAGTAGTATGCTGCATAAAAATTACTAGCACTTATTATGATTAACCTTTTCTAACCTTTGTTCCTGAGTCCTGCTCATCTTGGCAAATTCTGGTCTGAATACAGGCTTGGGTGGGTTACAACTAAACTGAGTTGAACTTGAATCAAAGTATTTCCTACAACTGCTTTACTTCATGAAGGGATGAATGCTTAGGTAAAAATAAAGCAACTTCTCTACTGGGTATGAACTCCAACAGCCATATCAAACATACACAAGTATGTTTTCATGTTAATGTTAAAATGAGATGAAAAAGAAATATGTAACTTAGGTGTTAGTAATTATATATTATTTTTGCAGTGTTTAGAATATACTATGAAATGTCTTAAGAAAGTGCTAAGAGTGGTTGATTTTACAAATTATTTCTGTCTCAGTATTTATATTTCTCTCAAACAGGACAGTACAAATCAGTCTTACCTGTTTGTTGATTATGCCTCTGTCAAGATTTGGGCTGCAGTGGATTTTTTTTTTGTTTAAAACAATGGACTTTATGCAGACAAACTAGACTGTCTCTAACAGGTTTGTAAAAGAGCTTCTTTCCACAAGATTTGGATGGGTCTGGCCTAATATTTGGGCGTGTGTAGAAGGTGGTGGGATATTCAGATGTACAGATTCCTCTGGCTCAAGGGAGCTGGTGGCAGATGAAACCCAGGGGTTAAAAAGAGCCGGACGAAAGAAGAGCAGCAGGAAGAGTGAAGTGCCAGCAAATCTGGGAGATCATAACTATCTTAATTTGAGCTGATTTACACTAGTAGCCCACTGTAACTTCTTACAAGAGGTAAAAAGAATAGACAGAAGGTGATTTAGAGATGGGGTGGGGGAGTTACAGGACGTTTTGTGCAAGGAGACATAAATATGAGGGAGAACATGTCCTACAGGAGTGAACAACACTGACCATATGAATCTGCAACAAAGCAAACATCTGTTTCATGTAATCAATGGAAAAGTTTATAATCAATGAAGTCTTCAGCAGATTATGAAGATGCTGACTTGATTTGTTTTCAAAATCAGTGGCTTGTTGTTTTGGGTTTGGTTTGGTTTTTTTCAAATTTTAAGAGGTCTGTGTTTGTTTTCTTGTTGTTTCCTTTTACATAGAAGCTTCTCTGTGGATCACCCCTGAAGCTCTTTGAGAAAGAACTGAATGTTGCATCATCCAGTTCAGGTTTCTGTATTGGCATATCTTCCTTCTGGAGTGAGTTGTTAAGCTCAAGATGGCCACTGTGCCTCTGTGTGTACTGAGAGATCCAAGCTCATCCCCCAGCTTGGAAATCTTACTGTGTGCCTTGGTCATGCCTTAATTATGATTGGGAGGAGGTCCAGAGAACTGTCAGCTCCCATGGAAAGGAGATCCATGCACACAAGCTTGTCATAGATCCAGCAGGTTCTGGTCAGGCAGAGCAGGGTTCAGAGCCATCTTCCTCACTATATGCATGTTGCCATTATTTTTTGAAGTTGTTTATTCAAAGAAGTCATAGCAAGTTCTTCATCTTGACAACAAATTGATTTTTTCAGTGTTACTTACCTTGTATTTCAAAACATTTGTCTGCTCATTATTTTGTGCTTTTTAAATTTCATAGTAGAGTTTGCTGTGAATTTTTAAAGCCAAGAAACCTACTGAAAGGATATTTTCTGTGTGGATACTGCAAAACTTGTCCTGAAGGATCAACAGAAATGAACTAGAGGCTTTCTATTATTTCTGAAATGGATCATCCTGGTCCAACACTGGTGACTTTTCTTTTCTGTGCCACACAGCCATCTCTGCACTAGATGATTCTCTCATTTAAATCTTGTTGCTGCTTTATTGCCCTGCCTTTGTTATGGACATAAGTTTTGCCTAATTTCTTCCTCAGCTGCCACTTCTCAAACCAGATTTTTTTTTAATTACTTTTTCTCATCTAATTCCTCAAACCAAATAGGTTTCTTTCCCCCTGATTCCTGTCCACAGAGCATCTATGTTGCTCAGGCAGATGAGTCTCCTAGCTTTTGCTGTGTAGAAAGTCTGTGTACATGCTTCTAGACTGCAGTACAGCTGTAGCTGTTTGTTACTGTTCAAATTTTCTTCTTAATATGAAGACTGAAATTGAAGAGTAGGTCAGACATCTCTTGACTTCTGGAATAAGTGCCGTTCTTTGTTCCCCTGCCTGAACCTGTTGGGTTTGCCCCAAAAGCACTGTTATTATAAGTTTATGAGGTAAATTCTCACTTCAGCTTCCTTTTCAGTACTTCATTATGTAAGAAGTGTTTGTGTCATTTTAGACTTACAGGCTTTTCTCTTAAAGTTTGCATCATAAAGAATGGATGTGTGACATATTCTAGAAATAGTTACAGCTATCTGAAATCTTGATGCCAATTTCTTCCTGTTATGTAGCTTCCTCTGACATTTAATAGTGCAGGTAAGACTTGGAGGTTTTCCATGTCATACTCTTTGCCTGCACCTCCTCTTTCTGTCTTGACCATCTTGAACAGAAATATGAAGTGCCTCAAGAGAAAATTCTGAGTTTGTTGCAGACTTCGTCATTACAGAGAATGGTATGCCCAGTTCTACCTTCTAGAAAAGCACAGTATGGTTATCATTTTGAATGTAATGTCACCAGTCATTCTGGCATTAAGCCCATATTTGGCTTGGAGCAAGAATGTCCTTTAGAAAGGTATTTTCACTTAATGACCGCAAGGGATGGAAATTTGTTCCTGGGATTAATCACCTGACTTTTTAAACATATATCTTATTACTTCTCTGTAGACTCTCTTTGGTGAATGTTCCGATATGAAAGAAGTGGATATGTAGAGCTAGAGCTCAGGAATAAAAAACTAGAACTAGAAAAGTAGCTACAGCATTTTTGCTGTTCCTTGCTAGTTCAATATTGCTGCTATTGTGATACAATCTTTATTTAAATGATCCCATATAAATTTCATACATTATGTTGTCAACCCATTAGATGGGTGTTTAAGGCATTATGTAATTTGAGAATTTTGCATGTAGTATAGAGTTTAGACCCCTTTTTAAACCTTAATGGGAGAACTTTGGACCTCAAAATTACTTCTGTTTCTTTTGCACTGGCCACTGCTGTTAGTGCTGCTTTTGTAGCTCTCAGTGATTTTCATAGGGTTGGTCTGCTGTTGATGCTAATGCAAGTTTAATTTCTTTTAAAGTCATATTTATTGAATTGTTAGATTCATATTCTGTAGATAACAGAAATATGCCATATGACACATTCTGTCTAGAAAAGTTTTATTAAAGAAAAAAGGAAAACCATCTGCCCTACTACATCTGATATATTAGTATAGTACATTGATTATTCTTGGGTTATTTTGTACATAATTCAAAAGGTAGACTATATTCTGAACATTCAGAAGTTAGAAGTTCTACCTTCTCCCTCATTTAAACAGCATTTAGGGGTTGAAACATGCCCATAGTAGTTATCTGAGGATAGTAATAAAGATGAGAGCTGTCAACTAATTAGTGGCATCAGGTGTAACTCTATAACTCTTAACATAATAGTCATATATTAAAAGGAATATGACTAGCACACAAAATCTTAGTAAACAGGTAAAGTCATCAAAAATTTAGTGTCTATATCCTTCAAGAGAAAAACAACTGTTAGTCTCTCCTAATTTTCTTTGAGGGTAGATTGAAGGCTGAAAATAAGATCTGTAGCTACTTTCTTTAGTTTATTCCTTACCTCTTTCAAGTAGTGTCTTACAGAATTGCATATTTTAGGCTAGCCCCAGTTTTATTGCTGACTGTGATGCTACATGGTATGGAATGATCCTTCTGGTCAGTGGGGGTCACCTGTCCCACCTTTTTCTTCTCACAGCCTGCTTGGAAGCAGGGGGAAGGCAGGACAGGGCAAGGGGCTGCAGCATGAGGAATAGAGAAGGCCTTGGTGCTATGCAAGCACTGCTCAGCAATTGCTAAAGCACTGGTGTGTTATCAGCACTTAGTCGCAACTAGAAGAACAGGCAGCTGTGAAGAAAACTGCTTCCATCCCAGCCAGACCCAGTACCCCTGGGATTACAGGAGTCAGAAGGGTTTATAAATAGATTAATGGAATTGAAATATAACATTTTGATTCCATTTATGTCTGTCTTTTCTCTCCTGCATGGCTTGATTGTTTATGTACATCATTGTTGTTAATCTTCACGTGGTTTATTAGTAGTAAGCTTTGGCTATTAAGTTACACTCTTTATTTTAGCAGTTTGATCAATGAGTTCTCTCAATTACTTTTACACTGATTGATCTCACATCTGAATCACCAGCCCTTGAAGAGATGAGAGTTACAGCTCTTTGAAGTGTGACTTTTGACACCAAAGAATAACTCATTGACACAACCAATATTGATTGTAGTTGTACCACTATTTTGAAACACTTATGGTAAATCTTCATTTTTTAATTCTAGAGCCACTCTAGAGTTTAAAGGTCTTGGGATTACAGTGCTTTGATTTGTAAATTACTGTGTAGTTCTACCTCTCAAGACCTCCAGGAAAAGCATTCTATAAATAGTAATGTCCTAAAAGAAGGTATAGCCATATTTTTATAGGCAGGCTAAGTACTTTTTATGTCAAGTTTTTGTTACCTGTGGTAACCAGCCGTGTTCCAAGAAAGCAATGTGATCATATGGTGTTGTTACCTATGGTTGTTACAGTTTTGCTAATGTGCTTTTGCTCCCGTGTTAGGCTTTTTTCTTACTTCTCATGATTAACATGTAAAGGTTTTACCAAACCACTGGTCAGGCAGATAAAATTTTCCATCACAGGACTGAGCTACGTTCAACATATGCTCAGATGTGCATGGTAAACAAGCTGGAAAGAACACAGTTGGATTTTCTAGACTAGTTTAATGCAACTACATGCTTACAAATAAATTCACAACTAATTGGTGCTAAGTTACACTGTACTTCATGCACAAAATCAAATTTCTCCATTAGAGAATTTAGATTTACTTCACAGACCTTATTAATTGTTCCCACGTTCTTTGATACAGTTATATATATATATATATATATATATATATATATATAGGAAAACCAGAACATAAACGCATTAAGCTTAAGGATTTAAACATAACAAAAATCAAGAATTACAGAATTAAGGTTGAATATTTACTCAATCTTGACTGAAGTAATAACTTCTGAAATAGCATTTCATTACATATTAGAATACTCTTTCCCAGGTATCACAGGTAATACAGGGTAACATATCATATATATTATTTAGTATAGCATACAGTTGACAGGCTAAAGGACCTAAAATTCACACAATGAAAGGGTGATATTTAGACTAACTCTAATCTGTGCACCATACACCTGTAGGGCTAAATTTTTAAAGGGGTCTCATTTTACCCTCTGATTTCATATCCTCAGTCTTTTTCATGCATGTATGATAGGATTAAGATACCCATTTTATTACTTCAGTCCCTAACTGATCTATCTTAATCCTTTCATATCTGTCCTTAAAATAAGAGGCCATCTTTAAAAATTTCACCTAAAGTGCTCAATTTTGCCTTCAGATACCTCCATGCAACTTCCATTGAAGTAATTGGAGCTGTGCCTGCATATCTGATGGTGGAACTGGACTCATTGCAATTAAGGTACACATTTCCTGACATAATTAGTCATCTGGAATAATTGCTGGGCCCAGTGTGACATTCTGCATGTGCAGAATTTGCTAGATTGGACTCTGCATATGGGAGATTGAAGATAATGATAAATTTATTTCATGCCTTAAATTTGTAGTTGTAGCAGAATTTTAATGTAGTTTGTTTTATTTAATTTTCTTATTTTTAAATAAGAAATGTGGAAGGAATTCACAGTGATGCCTTTGTATATATTTTCATACCCAACCAGCACACAGACATTCTATCATTTCCATGAGCAAGTTACAAATGGTATGTGCAGGCACAATTGTGATTTGTTCAGTTGCTTATAGTTTAAAATATCCAATCCTGAGTGTACTGCTTTTTTGGTTTTATTTATTTTTTTGGCCATGTATCTTTGTGCTGGCAAAGCACAGACAAAAAAATGGATCTGTAAACAATGCCACAGTGAACAGCATAAAAGCCACACATGAGAACTTTAGTACCTCTTAATTGAAAATACATAGGGTACTTAGTCTCCAGTAATTTAAAATTCTCTGTGTTTTGTGATTACAAGTTGATTACATGCAGCTTTAATATAATATAGGTGTCTCTCTCCTGTCACTGATCTGGGGAGGGGATCTTTTATAAAAGTTTTATAGAGAGTAATGTAAGTGCATGGTTGGCACAAAAGCAGAAGATTTTGTGGAGGTCAAATAAAATTAAATTTGTGACACATAAAAAATTCCAACTTAAAAGAAGTTTATCTGAGATGCTGTAACCTGTTAAACCTGTTAACCTGTTAAACCACAATCAATGTAGTGAATACTCCTGTGATTTAGAAGTTACTGATAAATATTTGGGTCTAGTTCTAGAACTGTTAAAAAGTTCCAGTTTTCATGGTATTGATGTTACCTGTATTGCTTTGAATTTAAAATGCTACAAAGTTAAAGAATAGCAGAATATATAGATCCCTCTGAAATTTTTTCACTACCACAAAGGTTAAGTTCCTTGGAGGAAGCCTTGTCCCAGGTGCTTTTACACCTCTCTGTTAGAGCAAGGGTGTCTGCCTGTGGCAGGCACAGCCAGTATTAGTTGTTCAACATGTTCAAGTTGAAGAGGATTCCCATTATGGCACCACAACTCCTTGAAGGTGCAGGCTTTCTGTTTTTAAAGAAACACTGCCAAATGGAAGTTGAAAACACAAGAACAAATAATTATTTGAAGTAGAGGTGATCATTACAGGGCAAAGTAGTGATTTTAAAGGAGATCTGGTTAAAAAACCCCAAACTACTAGAAATGTATGTGACTGGTTGAATGGAGAAATTATTCCTCTCAAATAGTCTTAGCTATGTTAAACTGCTATTTTTCAAGATAGTAGGAGGAGTTAATTATTTTAAAAATACATTTCAATATCTGTTTCATGCATTAATTCTTAGAATGCTACTGTAATATTTTCTGCATTTAAACAAACACATGCTTAGATGATCATGGATTTACATCCCCTGCATCCAGAATATTTAACAGGTGTATAATTCAGCCTGCCACAATTTTTTCACTCTTTTCATGTCTGTTGCAACAGCTTTATTATGTGTAGAAATTGGGATGTCTGCCCATTTTCAGGTAACGACTCTCACAGTGAAAGCGATTGATTTCTTGACATTAGTGTTCCTTTGTTCTGTGTTTACACCCTGCTTGTTCTACATGTTTGTACATTTCTTTGTTTTGTTGAAATGGAAATAAGCTAGAGTTGTTGCTAAACCATTTGTTTTTTCAAAGAAATTTTCTCTATTTTTAATTGATTTTCATTGTGTGTTTTTGCAGCAAGCTTAGTAGTGGAGGAGCGAACGAGACAGATGAAAATGAAAATGCACCGTTATAATCAGACATCAGGGTCTGGTTCTAGCCAAGAACATGAGCGTGAGCAATATACCAAGGTAAAGTCAGTAGTCTTGGAATGATATTTTGGCTTGAAAATTGAAGGCATAAACTTGTTTATTTAAAAATATTACATAACCTTCAAGAACACTGTATTTTACAGCCTGATAGAAATGTCTTCAAGTAATAGCTTTTTACCACCTTTTTTGCCCCCATCTGTTGTGCATTAGACTTAGTCTTTGACATCAACTAAAATGTATCTGTAAAAGCCAAAATACTTAAAAACTATTTCAGGAAAGAAAGATACTTCCACAGCTGTTAAAAAGAGACTAATCACATCTAGTTTAGGAAGTCCTCAGACTTCCAGTTCCTGGAGTTTAGAAAAGGAGGCCATGAAAGAGTTGGTGGGGCCTTGTTGCTGTCTGATGTGTAGAGAGAGCTAGGTCCAATCCCAGATTGCAGATGTTCTCATATTTGTATAATTTTTTTGCATCCTAATAATGTCAGAGATAAACTATTTCTTTTCTTGAAGTACCTACTGATTACTTCGATTTCCTTTTCTAATAAAAGCATAAGGAGTTTCTGTGATAATGGAATATATTGAAATAACGTTAACGAAGTTGTATAGAGGAATTTTGTTTTCTTGATAAGGCTAAGATGATAGCCCATAACTTTGTAATTTAAACTGTATAGAGTTCTGAACAAACTGATGAAAATGTCTTGCACATCTGCACTGCTGGTTACAATTCAAGCTGTGAGGAGCTGGATGCTCCTGGAGATGCACGTTAAAATAATGCGTAAGTGAGGTACTCACCTAAAACAAAATCAGAAATTTACTTAGGAATGGTTAAATAGGAAATTTGCCAGCTAACTTTTAATATGTAAGATTGGTTCAAGATCTTGTTGCAGTTAAATATGCAGACAACTTTAATAACAACTTAAATGAACAGTTCAAAATGAAGACGAGAAACAAAACTTTACGTCCTCAGTGGCCAGTCTGTGGGATATCAGTGCTGTTAAAAAAACTCAACAGCTGGGGTGGAAATTTCCAATGAGATCTTCTGTCAGGAACAAGAATTTGTTTAATTAGAACAGCTAATTTACTATGGGGTTTGCTATTACCTTCAAAAGAGGTCCACTCAGAGCAGGAGGGTGAGATGCAGTGTTGTACTTCCCAACTGCTTAACATGTCAGAAAAAATAGTTAAAATAGGGTTGACAAAATTCTCACGAGAGAGAGATAATATGCAATCTGAGGACTTCTGCCATGATGACCTTTGTTCAGATTCAAAGGCCAGATTTCTGAGTTAGATTATATGTGCTTACAGATTGATTTAAACTTGTGTATTTGACATTCTGAAATGTATTTTTTAATTCTAACTCTCTAATATTTATTATAAGCATCATTTTGGCCCTTCAATATGTTTTTCTTATTTGATCAGCATAGATCCAATGTATGGTTAAATAGTTGTTAGAAAACATCAACCTGCAATATTACAAATTCCTCTTATCCTTAGAACCTTGAATTTTCCAGGATCTCCTTTTGGTTTTAAATGCATGTAGAAATCAAGATTGAAATCATGATGAGTACTAAATCATAAAGAACACTGAAATTATACTATTCAGAATTTTTTTTTCTAAAACTATGAGGAAAATTTTGAAGAAGCAAATTCTCTGTTGGTTGTTAAAGAGAAATATTTTTGGAGTGCCTTGTCTTCTGTATTTGTTTCCCATGCTGAAATGGTAGTAAGAAGAATTGCCGTGGTCTTTAAATGTTTAACTTCTCATGTATTTTCTACATGATAATGTTGGAGTCCTAGATAATATGGTCCAACATAGAATTAATTTTTAAGTGCTGAGAAAGAATTCTATTAGCCCATTCTAACACGCCAGGATATTCAGTGATGGTGATAGTCATCACTTTAAAAATGTTACCAAACCAAACCTTATGCTACTGTCTTTCTCTATCCTGAGAAAATGGTGAAAGAGTCAAGAGAATAATGAAGACAGATGAAAATTTGGACAGCTCCAATGAAAATGTAGTACATCATCTAATGAAAACGTAGCTGTTGTGGTAAAGCTGATGACTGAGATTTCTCAGAACCAAAGACTACTCAGTTTCTGCTGCCAAAATTTGTGAAGAGTCTTTGAAAGCTGCAGAAACAAGACTTAATTTAAATAAAAAAAATAAATATTAAATGGTATAATAGGCATTCTGGAATAGTGAAAAATAAATATTAACTGACTGTTAAAGAAATAGCAATTGCAAGTAGAGTTTTTCCCTCTTTAACCAAAATGATTCTTTCTTTCCCAAATAGCAGTTTGCCCACTGCTCCAGAAAATAAATACATTTATTTGAGAAATTATACTGTGCTGAATATTGAGAAACAGTCCATTCTGCATTTCAGAGCAATCAGCTCACATGGATTTGATTCTTCCAATATTTTTGCATTTTCAAATATGCCTGTTTTATTACATATGAAATTCTCTAAACCATTCAAAAATTTTCCTTCAGTATGAGATCATATTTACAATGGTTAATTATGCATATACAAAATAATTCTTGAAAGTTAAATAAGTTTTCTCTTTTATTGAAACAAACCTTTTTTGTAACTGGTCCTTTGCAATTTACAGTCAATTTCTGATGCATTACAGTTTTGTAATTTTCCCCACTCAGTTTCTCAATTTTCTAGTTTCAGTAAGCAAGCAATAGTTTTCCAAGCATGCACCATGAAGGTTTCGATTTTGAACATCCATTAATGGATTTTGAATAGGTAACTGTCTGCCATGCAACATTTGTATATTCTTCACAGAGCTCACATCCTTATTTCCTCCCAGTGCAGTGGAAAGACTCCCTAATTTATGGGGAACAGTTATTTCTAATATGATAAAAAAAAATTAAAAAAAAAAAAATTTAAAAAACCACCAGACCTCTGAGAATTTGTCAAAAGTATTTAAAGAAGAACTTTAAACATGCCTACCTTCTTTCTTATATGTTGGTTAGGCTGTAGTGGCTAGTGTGCACATATTTGTGCTGTTTCAGTACTTGAGAGAATCAAAACATTTGGTGGCATAATTTCAGATGTTCACAGAGGTGATTTACAGTGTAACTCAATTAGCCTTCTAATTCAAAATACACTTAAGGCTTTTTTTTTATTCCAGATGCCACACATAGAACACAAACATCATGCTGCAGCTGCTCCTCCTTCCCATTTTTGGAAGTTCTGTTTATTCAAGAGAGTTACTGATTAGACCACTGTAGTATGTACTTAAAAAGGATATCTCTCTATATTTAGATGCACTACGGCCTTAAGACTGTATGTGATTGAAAAGCATTTAGCATACAAGTGTAATCATGGCATTTGTTCAGTGGCACTGTGGATTTAACTCAATAGTTACTGTCTTAACTCTTGTATGTTTGCAGTTAATTTCTAAAGCAGGGGCTGGGTAGGATACTTGGGCTGATAGGAGGCTTATTAAGTAAAGTTTTATGTCATGCTGGGTAAACATCTAGGGCTGTATATGGAAAATGCTTTTGGACATAGATGTAGCATCTTCTTTTGGTCCCCTTCACCCACCTTGAAGAAAAAGTTCTATATATATTGTATTAAGATGGCAATCACTCCAGTACTGGCTGGATTTCACAAAATTTTGTGGGTTCCATTCATTTGACCTGTGGGCTTCACTGCAGTTTTCTTATGGTTTGACTTGCTCATTTTTACTGTTCCCTGTTTGGAAGCTGAGCAGTGTTCATAGGAGTTGGATACAATTATAGGAGGAGCTCTTTAGAATCACTGGTGCTTGGCAGGCTCTGGACCATGGCATGAGCTGCTCCTAAGACAAGAAGCTGGTGGGAGTCAGTGATGAGCCCTGAATACCCTAAGGTGCCAGCTGCTGGGCTGTGAGTGCCAGCGGCATTCAGAGGAACCCTATGTGAGCAATCATAAGACTCAAGGTGTTTTGTGCAGGATTCAGTGTTTTCTGACAAGATTCCTCGTTAAAGTGCCTCAAAAGATAGCTGTGGTCTCGAGACTTGTATAAGTCCCTGGAAGAATCTGTGCATCTGGTCAGGATTTCTCTTTCCTCATGTTAATGACTTCATTTTAAAGCCCTTTTTATTTTCTCATTTCATTTCCTAATTCTAAGCACATAATGAGGTATATATTAGTCAAGGTTAGTCACCTGGGACTTTTTTTGTAGTCTAAGGACAGCATACTCAATTAATTTTCAGAGCTCTGAACTCTTGTATTCTTCATGGTTTTGGGAGTTAAATCTAGAAATATAAATACTTTCATATTATAAGTACTTTCTAATATGAGAGATAATCCAATTATAATGGACGCTTAAATGACTTTTAAGATGTGCCTTATAACAGTAAAATTGCTGACACTGTTAGTCATTAAGGAGCTGTAAAATTATTTGTGAAGTACACTGTTTTGGTTTGTGTCTATGCTCTTCCCACTGATGTTAACACATCTACAGTTCATCATACCCCTTTTTCCTCCTTCTGCTGGTGTGCAAGAAGCAACAGCTCCATAGGTGGTAAAGTCAATGGAAGAACTGCATTCCACCTGTTCATAGACTTCTGGTTTTGTAATTCAGGCAAAGACAGTGCAGATATTTTGGCATTTTAAACTAGTTGCTATTAATGTTTAAAAAAGCAGACCTACTCTTTAGTAATTGCTATTGAAGTGGCTGCAAACTTCAATGACTCTCCTAATGTGATAAATGGTGCAGCTTGGAAAAGAAATGTTACCTAAGCTTTAAGATACAGAGTTGAAAGAGAAGTGATTGCACTGAAATATATTTCATTTTGAGGCTTCAAAATGCTATAATGTCTAAATATAACATGTCAGCGAAACTTATTGCAAATATATGTACAGTTGTAAAGAGCAGCAGTTTTCTGCTTTAGAGGAGAACTCTATCATATTATTTTTGAGCCCCGTTGGAAGCCTGCAGGCATTACTGCATTGCAGGTACCTTTTAAGAGGATCTTAGCCCATATTATTTTTCTCCTGAATGATACATTCAGGTGTATTGCAACAGTAAAATATTCTCATTTTAGTGAGCACTGCTTTGTGGAAGAGTACTATTTACTTCTCTCTATATTGGAAGGAAAAAAAGTTTAACTTAAAAATTGCTTTCATTTTGTTCATCTGTTAGCTGGGATGACTGATTGTCAGACTGTATCAGAGGTAGGTAGGAAATCAGTAGGAAAACTTGTATGCCTCCTGTTGGTGGCATTAATTAGAAGTTGGTGAATTAATTAGAAGCAGCAGGTATAAGAAGGAAAAGCTAAATCCAGAAGTCATAGTAGTAAAATGTAAACTCTGTAGTACTCAGCATTGATTTTCAGCATCACTACTTTTTTGTGCTGATCTCTATTTCTGTGAAGGGAGATGTTTTCAGTTTCTTGGGAATCACAGCCCTGGCACACAGTATAAAAGGGGTAGGAAAAGCTCAGCCATGCCATGAATATCCTGTTTAGGAAGGGAGGCTCCATGTTTTCTGCACTAGCTGTGATTGCAACACAAGGCAAGTAGAAGACATGGATTCAGTTTTTTCTTTATGTCCCATCTCACTGTAAAATGCAGTGCTTACCAGCATAGGAAAAACTGTCTTTTAGGCCAGTCTTGTATCTACACAACAATTTGATTTTTCACACTGCTGGACTATAGGGAGCAAAACAGAGTGAGGATATCTATATAGCCCCCAGTTACAGGGGATGCTACCTGGGCTGAAGACCCCTGCACCAGTAAATGGTTTCATGTTGATACTGAACGGTCCATTGATGGGGATGAATCTTCAAACAGCCACTGATATACAAACTGGAAATTCTAACTTCCCTCCCAGTATTCTAACTGGTAAGCTGCACAACCATGCTTGTTGCTTTCCCTCTCCCCCCTCTCCCCATCTTTCCCAGCCCATGTAGATACCCCATGAAAGGTGGAACAAATGCAGTACAAGTGAAACAGAGGGTGTTCTTCATGACATACACAGTCCACCTGTTGAATCATAAGTTGAGGGCTGAACAGCCAGATTCAGGTGTGGCTTGGAACAAAGACCAGCAGTCTATATCTCCCTCAATACTTAGAAGAAAGGCCTACAGCAGGACAGCTTCCAGATGTAACTCCTCTGGCCTTGGTGGCTCTCTCAGTGGGGTAGTCTGCCTTCTCCAGCAGCATGTCATGGTTGCTCAGGGACCACCTCAGTCTTCTACCACTGCAGGTTCACTGTATGCACTCTCAAACCAAAGGCCACAAAGATAATATGGACCTTTTGGTGAGGAAGAGAAGTAATTGGACATTACAGTGGCAGAGGGAAGAAGTCAGATGATCTTCAGCAAATACAAATAAAGCATGGAGGTATTTCTGAAACAGTCTGTTACTATGCTTAAGAAACCCCATACATTTGAAAGAAATTGAGTGGTTATATTTTAAACAAAGAATTTTTGAAACCTCAATTTCAAAGGAATAATTGTTAGATATAATCTCAATGTATAGGATGGGTGAAATCCCTATTTCACTGAAATCAACAGATTATTATTTAATGGGATGATTTTGCAGATTTCAAATCTGTTTAGCTTAATTGAAAGCCAGATCATTCCATGTGTCCAGATGGTTTTCATATTTTTAAATGTCTCATTTAGAGTAGCTTGAAGGATTTGTTAGGAATTCTTTAGGAATTTTTTCCTAAATTTGCATAAAACCAAGTCTGTCTTGGGACTGGGGCAGTTTAAATTATGCTGGAGAGAATAAACCTTTCATTTTTCTAGTCTCTGAATGTTTATATTTAGCTTAAGTAAAAAGTTTTCAAACTTGCATTTTTGCTTTCAACATTTTAGATTTAGAAGGAAAATAAGATATCCTATTATGAAATAGGTCTGATAAGAATTAGTATGTTTTGTGTTTGCATTTTGGAGTTACCATTTTATCTTGCAGTTTGAAGGATAGCAATCAGCAAAATTGTGTAACAAACTCTACAAGTCATTAATGAAAGATGAGCTGAATAAACATAGGAGCGCAGTCTTACCTTAACCCCAGTGGGCATTTATATTCAGTAAAGTCACAAATCACATGTAAAGAGAACCTCCTGATTAATTCCTGCTGTAGTTAAAAATATTTTTGTTATCAGGGTACTTGAGCCCTTTCTGTTACCCATTTTCTTAAAGTTACCTTTAATAAATCAGAGCTTTCTCTCCTGCAGATGTTTTTACTGAGGCATTGCAAGGACCTCACAGGATACTGCCTAAAAGTTTTGCTAAGCAGTGTTCTAATGCATGCCTGAAAAACACACTGAGACAGTAAATTTATACAACCTCCATTTGTCCAGCAGATTTCTGTATTTACAATTGGTGCTTAAAATTGCTTTATTCCTTCCCCTTCTCTGCTCCTGTTGACTTCTTCATTTTATCTTCAATGTTTTACCAAGAGGTTTCAAAGTATGCACAAGCATAGTTGCTGAAAGGCACTGGAGCAGGAGAAGATAAACCTGACTTAAGGAGAGGAGACCTGATACATTCATCTGTACAAACTCAAGTTTGTGTTTGCTGGGTTTTTGAAATTAAGTCATGGCATTTGCCAAGTGACTCAGCCAGCAACCCAGTGCCTAGCTGGAGTTTGGATATTCACAGATAGCCACAGATTTGTGTATGATTTATAAATAAATGTTTTATGGCTTGCAATTTTACAGAGCACACATTTGGAAAATGAACTCCTCTGGAGTGTCATGTTAAAAACTGCTCCTAAGTGTTGATAGTTTTCCTGTAATATACCCAGGGAATTATGCCACTGATTTAGTTGCTTTCTAGTCAAGAGTACCTTCCTCTAATGACAGTAAGTTTTAGTTCTGTGATTATGAAAATTATTTGGTCCTCATATCTGTATGAGTGAAGATTTAGATAAGTGTGACTGCTAGGATTGAAAGTTCCTTTTGACTGATGATATGAGTAATAAGAGCATTATGTGATAGATGGTGTGGTGTCCCAGTTGATTTTAAAAGCAAAGTAACTTCTACCCCTGTCCACATATTCCTCCTGCTGTGTCTTCTGCTAATTCTTAGGCATGTGCAGATGTAAAAGCAGCTAGATCAGGGAACTGATCTGCCTGGAAACAAATACTGTGTTTGCTGAGTTAGCTTTCTGCTTAATTAGTTCTCTAGTATCACAATACAAAGAGATATTTTGAGATAGAAAATGTACTTTTTCTCTTTTTTAATAGAACTTCGGAATTGAAATCAGTCCCTAATAGTGTCATGTAGCATTACATTTCATTCAGGCTCATATGCAGTTCTATGTGCAGGTATTTTATAGTATGCACTTTTTATATTTTAAAAATAAAAAAGGGTCTGTAGCTAAATGGATGGTATGCATGTGCTTGAGATGTCTCTCTGATGCATAAATAGTTCATATAAATATTCCATTATTGTGGTTCTAGTGTGCTGAAGAACCAACAGCCTATTTAATTTCCAGTGCATTATTTTATTCCGAGTATCTTCTTTAGTCCATAAATAACCTGTTTGATTTCTGCACTAGGCGTAAAGACATTATTTAATGTAGGCATGTCTTTGAATTTCATACAATTTGTTATATCTAAAAGCAGTTAAAGGGGATTGTCTTACTTAGGTCATGTGTTGTCTCAATGAATGCAGTCTGTTTTGATGAGACTCCTCACCCTTTCTTTTCTTGATCTCTAGTATAATATACAAACAGATCAGTACAGAAGTTGTGATAACGTCTCTGCCAAATCATCAGATAGTGATGTCAGTGATGTGTCAGCCATTTCCCGAACCAGCAGTGCCTCTCGCCTCAGCAGCACAAGTTTTATGTCAGAGCAATCTGAGCGCCCTCGAGGCAGGATCAGGTGAGTTCTCCATGCAGATTCAATTGCACCACACTCCCTCTTTCACTGAGTGCCAGAATAAAACCAGAAATTCTTGAAACTGGATAACCACAACATAGGAATTTGTGAAAAATTTTATGCACATATAAACCGTTTTCCATGACTCGCCTGACAGTATTTTAGATGCAATAGTTGTGCATCTAAAACAGGAAGCAAACTTCCCATGAGATGATAGATTAATGTACTTATCCCAGTTGAACTTGAATACTGGGTGTCCTCTCATTGTTGGCTAAGAATTAGTATAATCAATATGTCAGTAAGGTATTACAGCAGAAACATTACTAGATTTTTTTAGTTAAACAGTTTTTGTCATAAAGGCTTGGTTTTTATTCCTCAAAGTATTTTTCCCTACCTACATGCCTTTGTTTTGCTATTTTCATGCATATGATAAATTACTAGACTTGAAGCTATTATTCATATAGAAATTTTGATATTTCTTGTTCAAAAGTAGTTTAATTCATTCACATTATCAATAATCAAATACATCTTTCATCCTTGATACTAATCTGTTCTGGGGTTAGGGGTTTTTTAGATGCACAGATTGGTTTTTGTTTTCATTTAACCTGATGACAAAACTCTCTACAACTATAATGGCTGCAGGATTACCTTGGTAGTCTTTGATTATATCTGCCAGCTCCTGAACTGTCAAAAATTTGACTTTGGGTGTTGTAAAACACAAGAAGAATTAAGAACTATATAAAAAATAAAAATATCCCTACTAGGAAATCTGCCTGATATAAGTCTGGAAGGTATCATTTACCACTCAGAACACTTCTAGACAGACTCAGTGTCTGATAAGATCAGGTGCAGAAGTTTGATATGTTTATGCAAAAGGAAGGGATGTTAGGGAAATGCAGAAACTGCCCTCTGTGTTTGAGCAAAGTCCACCTCATTTTCTTTTCAAGGAATGTTCACAAGGATATTTAACATCCCATTTCAGATTGGTGGAGGTATAACCTGACAGCTGCAGTAATCCATGATCCAGCAGAACACTGCAGTGGAACTGTAAATGTATTCAAAGTAATTTCAATTCATGTCTTTAAATACTGCATTTCGTTGTGTTCTAGCTTTTCAGTATTTGACTCTTACAAGGGGCTTTTTTCATACCAAAATACCTTATTTCATAGACACAGAATTTTTCTCAACTTGGCCCACTCACAGTGTCTTTGTCAGGTTTGACAAAAACAGGATTTTTTTTTCCCCATAAAAATGTGTAACAAATTTTATCAGAAATTTTCCTTGAGTTCAGAATATCTGATCATAAATATCAGGACTAGGAGAACCAATAACCTTGTGTGAGCCTGGCAAGGGCTAAACCTGAGGTCAAATTCTCAACTTCTTCCATTCTTAGGAACAGCAGAGCACTTTGGGTACAGGTGGGGTGACCTAATATACAAAGCCAAGTGTTTTTGCAATGAGAGTTCCAGCTCAGCTTTGCTCTAGAAGCAAGATGTAAATTAAAGTAAAAGCAAAGTAATGTGAGATGTAATTGGAATTCAGATGCCTTCCCTTTCTGATACTGTCTACAGAATCCATACCTCAGAAATCAGACATTTTATGGTTGCTTGCTTTTATCTTCTCTAAATTCAGGTAGTATTTCCATAGTAAACAAAATGTGCAGGAATAACATACAATGCAGTTTCTTCAGCAGAAATATGAGGAAGAAATGAAAAGATTTGGGACAGGGTTGATTGTATTAGAAACAATTTTTTTCATCTTGAGATTCATTCTGTGCAACTCTGGCTTTTAAAAGCTATGTATCTTCAGTGGAATTCTCCTAAAAATAGTTTTAATTAATTTCTAATAATATTATTAGGAATTAAACAATAAATAATAAAATAAAACAATAAAATAATATTATTTTATTGTTTTATTTTATTATTTATTGTTTAATTCCTAATAATATTATTAGGAATTAAACAATAAATAATAAAATAAAACAATAAAATAATATTATTTTATTGTTTTTTTAGCTTACCTAAGACACCATTAAAGAGAAGAAAACACCTGGTATCTTGGATGGTTCACCTCATCTTCAGACAGGTGTCGAAGGCAGGGGAATCATACTTTTCTAGCATTAATTGTTGAAGAAACCCCAGATGAATTGTTTAGATTGGTTGCTTTAATTTCTGACACTTAAGATTAAAAAGATTCTTTCTCTCAATTACTAATGTTTCTTTAAGGTCAGGGAATTAGAAGTTTTAAGTTCGAGTTGGATTATTAATTTGAAATTAAAATTTTACTTTTGCCCCTCCAAAGAACCCAATGTTGACACGAGCAGGATGGGATAGCATAGTTGAGCAGGAATGGTAGCATTTTTTTGTCTATCTGTTTTTGTCATTCTGAAACCACCTATCCAGCATCATCTTCATTTGGAAGTGTGTCAGGCCAGTGGCCATGGCAACTGTGTGAGCGTAATGTTACGTTTAAGGACTAAGTTTGTTGAACTGCCTTTTTTATGCACCTGCTTTTGTTCTCCAGATATATTCTAGAGATGAACCTAGTAAGCATATAGAAACTCAAAGGAGGTGGCTCAGTTCTAGCCATTTCATGAAATTAAGTCATTCAATAAGTATCCTTACTCTGAAGGTTCAGTCTGGGGTTCAGATTAGTAACCTGAAGTGATTGATGCAAGTTCTAAATATAAGTATATATAAGTATATAAATAAATATATAAAATAGCTTCTTGCTTTCTAATTTGTTTAGCATTTTCAGGTATGTGTTACAAAAAATGGCTTTGCATGGATAAGCTACTCTGTACATTAAATAACTCAAAACTCTTTCTAGTTACCGTCCTGGGAAGTCTGGTAAACTGCCATTGCTCTCTAGTTGGAAGTGCAGAAAAAAAATACCAGGAATACCAGAACAGCAAGTTCTGGGACTTTCGATTTGAATCAGAATCAGATTTGTGAATTTGGAGTTGGTGTGTATTTGTTGAGTGAAGCCAAATGACCAGTCCTTCTTTATGGTGATTTTCTTTCATCAGTCATGGTCTTTATGCATTCATAATGCAGTCACGCAGTACTTTGTGCCTGCATATGTTGAAGATTTTACTCCGTATGTCTCAAATATTTCTCACATCCTAAATGTAGCAGAATGAAATTTTCTCATGGTTTAATGCAAATGATTGATAAGTAAGAACCCATGATGATTAATCAGCATGATACAGGCTTGATCAGACAAAGACATTTGCTGACTTAATTAAAAATTATGCCAGATTATGTCATTGCAACACTTTTTGTTTGTAGCCTGTTTATGCAGGGATACCTGGACTTCTTGGTGCTTTTAAGTAGGGAATTTGTCCTGCATGGTAAAGGTGAGGTGGAGGCTTCTGTTTTGGAGGAATAACAAGCTACCATAAGGTGTTTCACCTAAATCTGATTTAATAAAATCTGCTAAATTTATGAAAGACTAAATAACTTTTTTTAAGGTGAATTTGTCTCACCGTATCTGGATTTCAAATTGCCCCTGCATTAGGAACATTACTGTTATCTCTCATTTTAAATTTCAAAACCACATCTTACTAATAATTGTATTTTTTTATCTTGATCAATCTGTGATATAATATCATTGTGTCTGTGCCAAATTTTAATCTGTTTCTACATGCTTTTTAAAATTGAATGCTTAACTGTAATTAAAATATTTTATAAGAGCTTATCAAGGAAAGAGGATAATGTAATGAGTTGCAACAGTGGATTTAAATCAGTTCTAATTTATTTCACATGTTGTGCCATGCCACTGAATTGCTTGTATCACAAACCCATAAATGTTTTTTGGGATTTATGTTCTCTGTATGTCACTGAAGTTTGTACTGTCAGGCTCTACCTGACAAACATTTTCTTCCCTGATTTCCAGAACAGAATATACAACTTTCGTGTAGCTGTTCTTTCAGTACACTGATGCTTAACTCCAGTACACTTGAGCTTTGAAACAGGAGTAATGGAGTGGAGAAATGATGATTTGTGATCAAGTGAGGAGGTGGTTGGTGGATAGGCAATGGCTGCAGAGAGATGGAGAGATGGAGACAGCAAGGACCTCATAAACAGCAAAACTGGGCAGGCAGGAGCCACCAAGAGTTTATGGATATGGAAAAGGATGTGATTGAGAGAAGCGCATTTAGGGAAAGCTCTCATACCTTTTTCTGGGAAATCAGCACAAGTGTGTGGCTCTCTGGATGACCTGTGTTCTAAAGCACGGGGAACCAGCAAGAGGAATTAGAGGTTTGCTGTGCAGCTGCAGGGCTGTGGTCTCATCATGATCACAGAGACATGGTGGGATAGCTCTGGAGTGCTGCAGTCCATGGAAGCACAGGGCAGGATAGCAAGGAAGGGGTGTAGCCTTTCATGTGAGAGCATGAGAATATGCAGGGGGCTCTGCCTAGAGATGGGTGATGAACCAGCTGAGAGTTTATATGTGAAGATTAACGTCGGAGTTAGATGAAACCTTCTTCCTATTGTAGGTTCTGCTTTTTATGGAGAACTTAAATCATCCTGATATCTGATGGTTGAGCAATGCAGTAGGGGACAAGTAATCCAGGAGGTTTCTGTAGTGAATGACTGGATGGAAAGTCTGATGACTGGAGGGAAAGTCTGGAGGACTCAGCAGACATGATCTGATCTAGGAATATTTAAGTAAACTGGACATGTACAAATTATTAGCACATGACAAGGTGTACCCATGAATACTAAATGAGCTGGTGTTGACTGATGTCATTGAAGGGCCAATAATCTTTGGAAGGTGGCACTCAAGGGGATATTCTTGAAGACTGGGAGAAAAATCATCACTGCTATCTTCAAAAAGGGAAAGGGGTCTTGGAAACTGTAGGCCTTAGCTCAGTCTCTGGCTAGGTGATGGAACAAGTAATCCTAGAAACTATTTCCAAACATATGTGTAGAACAAGGGGATGATTGTGTATAGTCAGCATGAATTTATAAAGGGCAAATGGAGCCTGACCAGCCTGA